GCTGATTAACTTGAGGAAAAGGGTTCAATACCATATGTACATCTTCATATCATGCTTAAAGCGATCCATGGGCCTTGGAAGGGGCTGATGCGTGCCATTGTATCCCTTCATTGCTTGGGGAGCGGTCATGCTTGTCTAACATCGCAAAAGACAGCTAAGGGGGTGAGGAACATGCAGCATGATCGCCTTGTGTGCGCAATCTGAATGTGGATTGAAATAGGGGACACCCAATTATTGGTATGTCCTTTCGTCTGACTTGAAAGCTGCCCATATGCCAACACTCAGCCGTCTTGCCAGCCCCCCTTCCAAGCCCGCCTCACTGAGAGACTCCAGCTTTCAAAGCTCGAGCAGCGGCGGAGCAGGGGCGCACGTGCAAAAGTCTCTTCAGGCCTTCTGCTTTGCTATTTTCATGTGAAAAGCAGGTAGGTTACCCTCACACCGACAACATGGAAGCTGATTTTAGGCACTTAGAGAGTCCTGAGGAAATGGTCTTGCCTCCAGTGAAGTCGGCGGAAGCGCATATCCGGTTGCGAGAGCTGGCGCCCTCTGCCGGAAAAAAAAAAGCACACACAATGGCCCCTAGTTTTCAGCACCGCTTCATACTCTGACATCTTTCGATCTCAAACACGGCAGGCATGTTTGTCTTTCACATAGGGCAAGGGCCCTTGCCCATCTCCAATTCCCACAGGCGATGCCCTTGGCGCTTGTCCTTGCAGAAAGGGATTCTCTGATCGAAATTCTGTATCGCTTGTCTCCGTTTTTTTCTGCACAGGCTGGCTGTTCAGAGGGCCAACGGCCAAACCACCAACGGCCAAACCGCCCGCTCCATTCCGACCATGCCTTGACTGCCATCCGGCGTCAGGATCCATCTGTAGGAAGGGCTCGAAAAAGCCCTGCGTTTTTGTGCGCTGCACGTGGGAAGCCAGCTGATCTCTGTGTTCACCGTGCTTTCGGCTTGTTCCATTTGCCGTTTGAGGCAAGCATCAACATCTGCCCATATCTTCCAGTGCCTGAGATTGGAATGTCCGAATTTTGTCCAAAGCAAAGTGCTCGAGTCCGACCTTTGCTTTTGACAGGCTTCGCTTGCCGCTGCCATGATTTTGCTTGTTCAAGAAAGTGAAAGCCTGCGGGTTCTCTGACGTGAGGCGCACACGCACAGCATTTCTAACTTGCACACTGACCCCAAACAAATCCATCCCAGTTGAACATCTGCTTGCATAAAAGCTCTTGCAGTCACCAGTGCTAGCTGCAAGAAAAACCAAACCTCAAGCTAACACCTGGTATGGCAACAGGTCTGACTGCGCACGCCAAGTTGGCCCGCTGCAATGGCAAAGACACTTGACGCTGCAGCTGCCACGCGCTGGGGTTTTGACATCTCGATCTTTGTCGACTTCTTGCAACCTTTTGCTGCACAACCTTGCCCAAAGCCATTCTGTCTGCAAGGTCCAAAACCGGTTTGTGAATGCTGCAACTCATTGATCGTGGCCCACCTTTGCATCATTCCCACTGCAAATTGACATGGAACCCACAAAAGGGGCCAAACCAACAAATCCTCAGCATACGCAGCATACGCAGCGCTTCTGGGGTTCCATGTTAATCTGCAGGGGATAGGATACACATGGCGCGTGATCTGAGTGCTCACGGCACGTCACTGCGATCCCGCGTCCACTTTGGAGTGGGGCTGGACTTCCTTCTTCGCCTCGGCACAGCCAGCAAAGCACGCTCAGGGCGATATGGAACCGGGCAAGCTGATCTTACAAATTGAGAAGCTTCTCTGGGCGCCAATCACTATTCACAAAACTGAAATAAATAACGGAAGTTCTCCCTGCAATGGACCTTCTTGGCTGACGTTGGAAGGGGAGCAAACAAAAAATAGCAGTTAAGTGGTTGGATTTCAACCACTAAATTACAATAAGCAAAAATGCTAGAGATGTTTCCCAACAACCGAATCATGGCAATGGAGCTCGCTTTACCCCAGATTCGTGAGCTCGTGAAACTTTGCGCAGACCCTATGAGCAGCTAATATGGGTGTGGCTCAAAATTAACCAGGAGGGGTTACGCAGGTTTTGGTCCATGTTTCCACTTACCAGGCTTGGATTTTGGTACCGGTTTTTTGAGCCACAGCCATATTGTTGCCTAGTCATGTTGCTAACACTGCCCTGAATCGTTCTGTTAAACAAAAGCACACATCGTATGGCAAGAATCAAGGACCCATCCCAAGGAAACGAAACGACCTGACAGGCACCCAAAGCCGTATGAGCGCCAGAGCCATTCTCCCGCCTCAGCCTCTTTGGCCGCAAGGTATCCTGCGCCGCGAAGAGCAGTGAATAGATGGTATCAGTGCAACAGCCTCTGAACAAGCAAAAACAACTACCCGTCCATCTCCGTGAGTTTCTTTTCGGGAAATTTGACCATCATTGAACACCCGCGCCTCGCCTTTTCATTTGAGCCGCACCGGAAAAAAACATGTTGTGGGCTCCCCATGCTCCCCCTTTTTTAAGACAAGCCAAGGTAGAGAATCGACTTGCACATTTTGGATGCTTAGGGTGCTACTTAGTAGGAGCAATTCAGGTAAATCTTCCAAGTGCATCAAAGTTCAGGTGGCAAAACTGCCTCGAAGGTAAACAAACATATTCGCTTGGAGAGTGATGTGGGGTGTTTCTCAAACTTAGGGGCCGATTCCTCCAGCTGGTTAAACTTCCCTTTTGGTTTCCATTTACCATCCAAAACGGATCAAAATGGAATTTCCTTTGAGACAAGCGCGCGCATCAGAAACTCCCCCTTTCAAGTCCGCTCCGAATCAGGATATGGGGAAATTCTCAATTATATGGCTCCGTGTGGGAACTTGATACCAAAAAGCGGCGCTAGTTTTGACCCTCGCCCATATAATATGGGAGTTTCTCAAGATTGTGTGGTTCTTGTTCTCTGCACAAATTCTCAAACCGTTGCAACACCTTCTGGCCCGGTCCACCTTCCCCCCCACATCCGGTCTTGGCAATGCGCAGGCACTGGCATCAGGGAAGGCTGGCCTGTCACCTGAGTCGGGTGCAGGCGGATAGGTGTTGCTTTCAGTGTCACTGGTTTTCCCCTGTTGCAGCTTTCTGTGGGTTCCAACAAAACATGTCGAGCCGCTTTTGGAGGCCTATTTTTTTGGAAAATGAGGGAGGCTGTTTCACACTTGGCCAGCGGGAAAGTTTTGAGAATGTCAAGTTTCGCCCAAAAGATTCGGTCAAGTTTTGAGAGGGTTGACCAGTGGGTTTTTTCAGGATAGCCTTGAAAATGGGATCCCTCGCGATTGAGGTAGAGCCCCCCGATCAATGTCAAAGTGAAGGGGTCAGATCAGGTTCCTTCAGCTCAACTGGGCCAAAAGCTCCAACTCCAAGTTGGGCACAGGGGTCATGATCTCTACCAAACGCGACTCTCTTCTGCTCAAACAAGAACTATATTAGTTGCAACAACACGGTGCTTACAACAAAACAACTTGTGCATGGCCGAGCGGTCGTTTTGGTTTGCGCTTCCCGCAAAATGCCCCATCCGTCACGCGGCTGTCCAGGCCGCGCCTTTCAGAGCTGACTTAAAGGACTTCTCCCAGTCCTGCGGCGGTGGGATTGAGCTTGGCTGGGCTGGAATCGCGTGGCTTGGTTCTGGGTTGGCTTGCTTTGGTTGCTTGGTCCGGGACAGGTACCCTCCCTCCAGCTAACATGGCAACCGACAGGGGCTCCCTTCAAAAGGAAATGAATCTTCCAGGTACCTCCCCACTGGTGCCATATTAGTTGGAGGAAGGGTAGGTCACAGTCTGCTGGCTTTTGCTTGGGCAGTTGGGCGTGCTTGGATTGGTCGGGTTGGGCTTGCTTCGGCTTGCTTGGCTCGCCTTTGTCGTGCGCTTGGGTTGGTTGCGTTTGGATTGGCCTAGCTTGGTTAGCATTGGCTGGGCTTGAGGGAAAGGTCGGGTAGGTGTCACTTGGAAGAGCCTGAGTCAAGAAGTTGCGCACTTCCCCAGCCCACCCTTTTGCCATTGGCCAACAAATCGGAGCAAGGCCAAACGGGGACTCAAAACGCGTTGAGCTCTGCCGTCAACTGGATGCGACAAGTTGTCGGGTCCAGATCAGGAGACCTTTCCAAGGAGGAGATTGCGATTCCCCAGATTAACTATGACAATGACAATGACAACAACAATAGTGCTAGTAATAGTGTAATTAAATATTCCGAAGGATTCTATTGCAGTTGTGGATGAGAATCTAACTACGAAGTGATGTTCAAGTCGCCTTCAGTAAAGTCGACGGCCTCCCAGGCAATACAACAAATCACTACTTTTGGGAGAACCTCCTTTTTCAGAAAACCTCGTTTTGGCAAAATCCTAATTTTCAGCGCAGGGCTCCTAGTCGAGTTTTGGACACGCGCCTCTTGGCTCACTTTTGCTGGCAGGGAGGTCTCTGAGATATCCGGCAGCGGACCCAGAGGCATGGCTCCAAACGCTCTTATTTTTTTTTAATACAATGCCAATGGCGCTTTTGTTCTGGTGCTTTGACTTTTTGGTGCGGTTGCTACTGTTGCTCGTGCTCTGTCGTTGTTCAGTGTATTCTCGTTGAGCCCTGGTGCTGTTGCTTTGAGCTGCCTCCTCTCTTTGCTCTTGTGTCCTCTTTAAGTTCTACTTGTCGATTGAAATGTGACGGCCACAGGCATGCCGCGTGTGCTCGGAGAACCATGAAAGCTTCACTAACTATATTGAAATCAGCGCATATGGCTGTGGGTCAAAAATAGGTACCCAAAATGGAACCCTGGTAAAGGACTAAAATCTGCGGTCCCCTGGTGATTCAATATTGACCCACACCCCTATAGCTCCTGACAGCAAGTGTGAATCACAAGACTCACTGCCGCAAATTGGCCTTGCCCATAGGGCCGTGGTGTTACATATCCGAGCAGAAAGTAGCACCGCGGATTCCAAGAAGTGGCAAAAACACATACACGTTCTGCATAGGCAAACTTGGCGCAGCACCGGTAGAACAGCAACACAGAACAGAAAAGCTTGGCATGTGTGTATACCATTGTGCGTGGTCCTGAGAGTGACATTTTGAGAGAATCTTTCAATTCCCCGCAACCCAACTGCATCTGCACATACTGAACATGCTTGACACTCGAAGCACCTGCTGCCTCGTCTCAACAAGAGGCGGCAAACTTTGCCCTAACGGCAAGCAATAAGGCAAGTACAATTGATCATGTTGGAAAGAGACAAACAATATAACATAGTATTTGACCTGGTGGCGGATTGGAGGGTGTTTGAGCCAAAGTGAAGGTTCCATCCTCCAAAAGGGGTCAGTGCACTTCCACCTTTGCCGGTGTCGGGGTACTGCACCCTCTGAGCTTCCCTTTTTTCCACACCTTCCCCGCCTTCCCCGCCTTCCCCGCCTTCGGATCTCGGATCTTTTCCCCAGCTTCCTCCTTCGGAGTTCTCTGTAACTCGGACGCTCGCGACCTCGCGGCCTCTCCCCTCACGGGAGACGCCCGCGAGGCCCGAGGCTCTTCAGTGCGGCGCGCGGTGCTTCGCGCTGGCCAAAAACCAGTGGGACGAGTCCATTCGGCAAAGCGCTGTAGGCAAACGGGGGCAAATGGGTGTGTGTGTGTGTGTGCTTTTAAGGGTAGCCTTTTTGGGTCGGTGGTGCAGGGACACCAATCGGAAAACCAACATGTTGGTGGGACTGACACATGTCCAATGGCCAAACTTGGCTGCTTCAAAGAAAACCAATGCGAAACCTACCATCTGGAGTTTTCTCTTCATTGAGATACTTATGGATGTCTATCTCAAGCAAGTCTCATCGAACAATGCATGTGATCCTGTTGGCCTGTTTTGCGTGTGGCATCTGAAACTAATAAGCCCGGTTCAAAATCACTCGAAAGGGAATGCTCAACCCAGGCGTGCTGGGTCCACATTGGCCAGGAAGCAAAGCAAACACCGCATCAGATCCGACTCATTTTGATAAACACATTTGTTTTCAACCCACCTCTATTAATGTTTCATTGTGGTTCATATTTGCGAACCTTAAAATGCAAATTCAGTTCAAAAGAGATTACAGAAGCAATAAAAGGAGGACCCTCGAAAGTTCGCACACACCCAAATGTGTCGTTGTCTTGCTGTGCCAGAGACCAGCAGTCCCAGCGGTGGTGCCCAGTCTTTGGGCACGGTGGCAGTGCATCAAGATCATCCAGGGTCAACAATATGTGCAATCACCACAATGGTCATGGAAAAAAATGGGGTCGCCCGCCTGAATTTCTATGGGAAAGGTCAGGGGTATCCCCATGTTCCGGCCAAATTGATCATCGCCCGTGGGAATTTTCCACCGAAACTCTTTATGTTTTCCCCAATAGGGGACCGAGCGCCTTGGAATTCCCGTTGATCCGGGCAATGCCAGGCCCATCAAGTGAAAACTTGTTCGCATGCAAGAAAAAACATAGGGTAATTGGTTGAGCCTTTGATATCCAGAGTATTTAGCACCCGGATGGACGTTGGATCCTTGAGAAACTATTCCAGTTGCACACACACACATAGAGGGCTTGGATCTCGACACACCGCCACCAGACTCGGACAAGAGGGGCTGCCTGGCAGCAGGGCGCCGAGATGCTTAAATCTCCTTTTGGCCCTTTGCTTCCTTTCCATTTGGTCTCCCTCATACAGTAATTCAAGCAACCCCGGTTTGGTCTCCCCTTGAAGGGAACCGAATCGGGTGTGCTTGCTTCAACCGAATGCCCGTCTCTACCAGGCCTTGTAGCAAGCAGCCCAACACCCAAGCAGGGTGCCCCCTGACCGGTGATGCGACGGTTATTCCAACAGCAAGCTTTGGCTGGTCCACTAAGGGCTTGTCTTTTCGCACTCATGGCGACTCGGTCCAGTACCAGCGGCAACTTGTATATGCCAAACACCAAGAAGCATCAGAAGCATCATTTTCTGGCGCTTCCTGATTGTTGCACTTGCCACCGGCGCTGAACCTGCATTACTGTAATTTGTAATTCTCCCAAGCAACATGTTTGGCTTCGGGTACTCATGCTCAGTCCACGAGGATCTCGATGTCGTCCTTTGGAACGGTGGAATAGTTCTCGTACCTCAGGCACGCAGTTTGAGACGAGGAGTCTCCGCCACTTGCTGGGATCCCCTACGAAACAATGTTACCCATAACTCCCCGAGCATGGCCCGTCTCACGCCAGGAAACGTGACAAGTGCCCTATTGAAACCAGTCCTTGGCCACCTTCTCAAAGTCAATCTCCAGAGGATCAAGGCAAATGACTAAAATGACTCTTGGCTTGGACTACTGAGAAGAGCCATGACACAGAATCCTTCATGCCACTTTGCCACCTGGCCTCCGATTGGGAACGCAAGGCGGTTCCGTTGCAAAACAAGCCAACCGTGTCCACCACAGGTTTGACCAGCTGGAAGCAATAGGGAAAAAGGTGATGCTTGGTGAAAGCTGTGGACCATGGTCATGGCTTCCGTAGGGATGCACTGGTTGTCTAATCCCCCATGGAAGGATCCATCCCTAAGTACCCAGGCGAAACTCATTCAACCCCCACTAAACAAATCCATAAGCCCTGAGCAGGTGACTCAGGTGGTACCACTGCATGTGACTGGTATCCAAAGCTTATGCAAGCCGCCGAGAAACACATGCAAAAGAGCATGACATGGTCCTTGCCCCAGATCTTCAAGGAAGAAACAATGCCAGGTCATCTCTACTCTTGGTATGGTAGCGAAAAACTTTGCTTTTTGCAGACCCCCAGTAAAAATGAACAGACCCAAAAAACTAAAAACAAAGAAAAACATGCCAAGAGCAATGCCAGGTGTCTAGGCTGCTGTGGAAGTCTCAAAGGTAAGGGCCCCTTTCTGGGGCACTAGCGTCGTTGCCGCCTCTCCGACGGGGGTCCGAGAGGAAAGGCACCGTCCCATCAAAGACGCGTTCAATGCGGACGGTCTCGACCCGGATGTGTTGAGCCCTAGAATTGTTTGCCCAAGAACCACAAAACAAGTACGGGACGCTCAATTGGTCTGCCCTTTCCTTGGTTGCTGTTGACCCCTCTGCAAAAAGTTTAACTTTTCGTGGGTTTAGGGGAAACCCCCAAAAGAATTCAACCGAAAAGTTAAAGTCTAAAGATCCAACCCAATAGCAGTCAAGTTTGACACCAAACCGCAAAAGGCATTCCCTGCATAATTCGACACTAGCGTCATTGCTGCCTTTGGAGGGGGTCCGACAAGGGGCACGTCTGCCCTTTCACACCAACCCGCCAAAGGCGTTCCCTGCATAACGCGCAGGTCGCAAAGTTCTTCGTGGGCTTCGAGGGGCGCGGCGCCGCAGCACTCCATGCGCCGCATGGTGCCCACCGGCGCGGTCTTCTTCTGGTGGTGGTTCAGCTTGGAGTCCTACGTGGCAGGTCGGGGCCTTCAGTGAGAGGAACGGGCCCTGGGACCTCCCACTTAGACGTTCCTTGACAGGTAAGAGGAGACTACAAGTAGGGTACCTACTGTGGATGCTTGCGAAATCCGCTTCTCGCACCACCGAACTCAGAAACCCTGGTGTATGGTTCGATTCCCCAACGTAAATACCAATAAGCAATGGTTTCAACCATGGTGTCAATGGTGATTCCCCTGTAAATACCAACAAGCAATGGTTTCAACCATGGTTTCATTTCGTGGTGCGAATTGGATTTCGCAACCATCCACAGTACGTAGTGCCAAAAAGTGGTCGGGGCCTTCGGAGAGGGGAGGAAGCTTCTACACTACCCTTTCGTACATAAGAAACCCTGGTGTTTCCTGCGTCTCAAAGATGCCTTGCAATCAGTTCAGAACTAAACCACTAAACCATTCTGTTCTCCCTCCCTCCGTCATCCCATCCCTGGTCTTGTGCAATTGTCCAAAACACCCCTGGAGCATGGAACCCTCACCACAGTACTGTTCACTGCCCCAGATCTCCCGCCCCTCCTGCACGAAGCGTCTCTTGATGCTCACCTGGCAAAGCTCGAGCGCAAGGCCCTCGCTTGGCACTTCCTCTGAACCACAAGTTGAGTGCTGGCTAAGACAATTAAAAAAAACCGACCGTGGCCGTGGTTTTCTTTTGTTGAGTGGCCATGAACCTCAAGAAAACGGCGGAAAGAAAAACCAGCTCTTACTGAGAGTATCACCACCAGCTGATTTCACCCCCCCCCCCAGCCAGCAGCCAGCAGCTGCCAGCAGAATATGTCCAAACCTGTTTTGAGCCCCCAAAAGCCCGCGGAACATCTGGTCCTCATCTTTTTGAGGTCCAACAAGTCCACCGAACTGAACACATTTGAGCGCTCTTCGAAGGGGCGCCTAAACGACGGCCTGTGTTTCTTGAGCCCATGACTGGGTCTCCAAACTTTCTTCTGACACGTCGGATCAATGCAGCAGTCACAGTGACCTGGTGCTGAAAGGGGCCCCGCCAGCAAGTGACATGCCCAACAAGTCTGAGAGATTGCTTCTATGGCTCTACACCGTACCGCGCCATACCTCTTCGTGTGCGTTTCTCTAACTATTCACACAATTAAGTGATGTCCACTCTCGGAAGCTTCCGAGACTTGTTCACTGGAACGTGTCAAGCTTTGCAAACGCTGCTTCAGTTGGCTACAGGGGTCTCTAAACTGTATGCTACCCTCAGCACAGGCGTTGACACCGGTCCCGATGGTGGATATGCTTTTGGCCTCTTTAAGCATCAGTAGAGGTTTGTCATAATGATATAACCCCCTTCCCCTCTGCGAGAGGAATCAACACCCAGATCTGACTTCCTGAGTGGATGGCTTGGGCAAACAAGTCTGAAAGGGTCCTCATTTACACGGGGACGTGTGCCAACCACTTAGGTTGTTCCCCAGAAAAGTTCACAACCACCCAGGCCATGAGAGAAAGGCCATGGGAGAAAGCCCCTTCGCCTCCAAAAATATCGCACAAGAGCTTCACTGGTGGAGCCATATAGAGGACCCCCCCGACCCCGCCCCACCCCACCAACCGCCAGCGAGCCTTGAAACCAAAGAAGCCCACCGCAACGCAGCAGACCACGCCGGCAAAGACCCTCGAATGGATTGGTCTCAAGCCCAGAGTGCCTTCCCCTTCTTTCCGCCCTCCCACCATTTATTTTGGGCGGTTGAATAGAAACCCACTCTCCTTTTGTTTGTTTGCTCTTTTCTAGTTTTCTGCTTCTTCTTTTTTTGGGGGGAGTGTTCCGAGACACTGGGAATGAAACGCCTTCGAGTAATGCAAAACATGGCAAGGTCAAGCGGCAAGACGTCCGCGCACAGACATAGAGAAACACAAGCGGACTGAAACTGCCCATGCTCCTGAATTCATAAACGACACCTTGCTTGAGGAATTGTTCTGTAATAATAATAATAATACTTGCTCCGTGCTCAGACGGGTCATTGTCCCACCAAACATTGCCCCACAGTAACAAGGGACACACCGAGAAACGCCGGAGACACTTTGAAAGCGAAACGGGGCCGTGCGACCCAACCCGCTTTGCTCCAAGGCGCATCAAGGAAATGCACATGAGCATCATCCACTTGCTCCGGCCCGAACCTGCCTTCCTGCAGCGAAGGAGCCCTGCAGCCCTGGACAAAATGACTTGTGGACGCTCTGAGTGGGTGGGTCCTTCCCAAACTAACAACACTGCCGTGACTCCCAGCAATTTTCTCAATTGTGTACAAGCGGCAGCCAGTGCTAAAAAAAAACAACTCGGGCGCTTTAGAACGGGCAGCAACGTGTACAGGCACAGCCGGGCTAAGGTGTGTTTACTCCCCTACCTTCGACAAGCCGGTGTTGAATTGGCGGCAGAACGTGAAGCTAAGCTTGGTCTCTGGGAATTCTACAGAAAGTTCGGCCCCTCAGAAATGCAGGTTGGCATCCTTTGTTACTTGCTATAAAGAAGACTCCTTTCCAAATCGAAGGCACGCATTGTACCCAATGGATGCTTTTGATAGGAATCAAACAAATTTTGGGAACAACCACAACAGGCTGGACCAGAAGTGCCCTCAACCGGAAACCCATGTTGATTGGCCAAAGGCAAAGAAAGCTCCTACAACTTTCCCTCGACCTTCCGTGAGCTGCCTCAAGGTCACCTTGACCTTACAGATTTGATGGCTGCCCTCTGCCCAACACGTTTTCACTGTGTGCAGGTTGGTGGGAAAATAAGCATGCTCGAAAAGCTTTAGAGATGCAAGGTCCAGCACAAAAGCCAAGAAAGCAGTTCAAACTACTGATGGGTCTGTGTGAAGATGAGGATTTGGCGCGAAAAAGGGGCTTTGGTTTTCCTGTTGGTTTCCGTTCAAAAGAAAACCTGCAGCCATATGGAACCTGCGCCTTTGCATCCAGGTCTCAGCAGCCCGTCACGCAGCACGATGGATTCCAGGTCAGTGGGGCGCACATCCTGCACTCGCGACTCGCGGAGCGGAGCCCAAGCAGCGCCGGTGGCTTTGTGTCGCCTGTGTGAGGTTCCTTTCAGAGGGGTCCACCACAAGTTTTGCGGAGTCTAAGTCTCAGTTGCCCAAAGGACCCAGCAATAATTGTTAACCTTTCGGGGCCATGACGAAAAATGGACCAAAATAGGAACACCAAAAGGTTAAAAGGTCGGCTTTGAACAACTGAGAAGCTCATCCCTTCAGCCCAGCTGCAACCCAGTGACCCTCGTAGAAACAGGGGATCCATTTTCCCTAGGTCCAAGGTCAAGGCGCAGGGCACATGTACCTCGAAGGGGACCATTTCGTTTTGAGGTTGGGCGGCTGGTGGCTCTGTTGCGTGCTTATGGGGACCAACTGATTGCAAAGTCATAGCACATCCCGACATGTGCCATACCAGGCCCTACCACAGGAAAGTCACCTTACACGGGCCCAAAAGGTGAACATCGGACTGACACGAAAAGGTAGTTGTAGGGACACCTGAGTCACCAACCCCTGTTCTTGCGCCAAGGCTCGATGACAAAGCTATCGCTGGCACTGGAGCCCTTGTTATCAGTGGCCACCACTTCCACACTCAACGAGCCTGCCGATGGCGTCGGGTCATGGGCTTTGCCCCATGGAGGAACACATGTAGATACATGTCTATTCCCACACCGGAAAGAACGGACCCCTCAAGTAAAGGAGCTTTGAACCCTTACACCCTAAATCCCAAGCTTGTTCAAACACCCAGTCGAGCTTCTCAATAGAGCTATCTAAACCTTGACTTCCACCATTGTATCTAACTGATGCTTAGTACAGTAAATTCTCATCAAAAGGCATTGCAGTGCAATGATGCCAGCATGTGACTTTCTGCATGCCAGGCGCAGCCAAGTTGACACTGACAGCGCCAGCACAACAACTACATCCAGCATGGGCACTGACATGCACCCTCCCACCCACCCAACCACCACCAACCAACCAACCGATCAATCACGTGCGCACGGACGCACTCGGACAATTTAGGTCGCCCTGGGGCATAGATTGCACCTTGGCCTGCCGCACCTGCCTTGCATGAAGTACATCGAGGGAAACACGTGCCCAAGCTATACGTGGATTTGCTATGTCAAGGTCCAGCGAAACTCCCCGCAGGCAACACCGATCCTTTGGACAACAGCTCGCATGCAACAGGAGACAAGGGAGTCAACCTTGAGTCCATATTTGTTATAGCCAGGGTTCGGAAAAGTGACATCTTCCAAATTGCCCACTACATGGTGGCTTCAAGGCAAGCAGTCCCCAAAGGTAATTTTGAGAACCTGGGAACATGTTCACTAAAACAAAAAAACAGTTTGCCCGTGACCAAGCTCAAGAGCCTGTCTCCGATGAGAGCGGGGTGCCAGTGAAGGTGCCCGTCTTTTCGTCGAAGTGCCTCATGCCAGCATTCGAACGCCCACATACCAAGGCTTGCATCACATATTCAGCTCCTGCATAAACATGAAAAACAAAACTCACCTCTTTGTCTCGAAGACAGTGGTCGGTATGTGTCGCTTCCATCTTCAGCTCCCAATTCCAGGACTGTTCCAATGCATCTGGCGAAGCAACAAAGCTGCAAGTTACCCGCTAGCCCAAGGCCCAAGACCCTCCCCCGCACCGCCCCCGACGCCCCCAAGCCCAAGCATCTGAAACCACACGCAATCAGCCCCGCCCAAACGCCATCCAGCCCAGCTTTTGTGGGCAAACATGAGCAAACACATGTACCTCTGTCTAGCTTCCCTTGGGCACTTGAAGACTTTGGAAGATTTAGGACTCCAACATAACACATGTGTAGCACTCCTTGATGGACATAACCCTAAAGCCTGGGGTTCCCGTGTTCAATTCTAGGTGCACTTCTTATACTTCGTTCTAATTTGGCAAGATTCATGTTGACGGATGTTCATATTCATAGCAGTGTTCCCTCCAAACAGTGACCCATCACCCCCGGCCCTCTCCCAAAGAGGGTCCCCGATCAAAATCTGCCAGTTCTGCTTACTCCGTCCATTTGGCTGTCACTTCGGGGACTTTGAAATTGGGAAGCTTCAGCTGATTGTTTTCCTTTACAATCCCAAATTTCGGGTGCGTCATGTCGGGGACTTCTCGAAAGCGGTGGCTTGGTTTCCCTTTCGCCCGCTTCCCTTCAAGGCAAACCCGCAAAAAGGGCCTCCAACGAAAAGAAGAAACAAAACAAGAAACACGGGACAGGACATGACTCCCACCTGGCACACCTCGCCGTTTTTTGAAGCCGCGCCGGGCTGCAGCCAGCTGGGCAGTGGCTTGCCATTGCTGAGGTGGGCCTCGTAGGAGACGGGCCCACTGCCGTCCGCATGGCCGAAGGTGCCCTTGGGCACCTCGAGCCGCGAACTCGAGTGCCCCGAAAGGTGAGTTTGGCTTGGGCAACGGGAAATGTCGGGGACACGCGTCTTTTTTTTGCTTTATCTTGTTTCGGGGGAGAGAAATTGGCTTGAGTCGGGGAAAAAGGGAAAAACCCGGAAAAACGCGTCTGTTGTTTTTTTTTTCTCGGTTGAGAAGGGGGGCCTCAGTGTGCCAACTTCTCGAGCACCTGCATTGGACTACACATATTGAAGCAAGATAACCCCAGGCCAATTGTAGGCAGATCGTCCATTACAGCAAACTGCAAACATGGTATCAATAACTGAAAGGTGAAGCTCAAGCTAGTTCTTCCACACATGGAGCGGGTCCAACCCATCAAGCACCCCATGTTTCAGCTCTTGTCAAAGGAGCTAGCAGGACCTCCCACGCCAACCCCGGTCGACCTTTTCTTTCCTTCCACCCATGATTTGCTTTTGGCGGCTTGCCTCTATCCTTCTACGATTATCGGAGTACCCTTCTCTTACCCTTGGCCAGTCGGCCAATGACTCTTGCTGGTTTCAAAAAAATACACATGGAACAACATCTTCCAAACCCCCATTGGGTCTGAACTTTCACATTGGACCCTTTTCTTGGAACTCTTTTGACAGCGCCAATTCATGTCCCACTTTGGAGGATTTTGGCCCACCATCTTCCCTTTGTCTTCGCCTGGGCCAAATCCAACCAACCCGACCACGACGGTCGTTCCAACCCACGGTCGCGGCCTGGAAGCGGAAGCCGTGGCCCACCACGGCCTTCGGCATGGCGCGGAAGTGCTGCAGCGGCAGCATGGGCCCCCGGAGCTTCGAGGAGCCGGGCGCGGCATCTCGGATCGGATCGGATCGGATTCAGAGGGCTTCCGTTTAAACGGATCGCATGGAGCGCAGGGATCTTTTGCCACGTGGCAACCTAAAATCCAGTTTCCCACACTTCAGAAAGAACTCAATCCATTTTGGAGGATTTCTCTGGTGACGGTCCTCCAGATTGATCTGCAGTTGACATTAAACCCCCCTCCAAAAGTTGGAGTCCGCTCCATTTACTGAGGACTCCAACGCTCCCGGAGGAGACCTGTGGCATTTGCCAGGCCACGCCCCGTGATGTTGATCAAGAAGCTCTCGTTGACGGCTGCGTCCCCGCTGTCTCGCGCGGTGACCCTGAGGAAAGTCGCCGGGAGTTGCCAAGCGCAGGCAGTTTTCCCTGAAATCACAGGCTGCTGACATCGAAATCGGGTTCCCTGAAGAAAAAAAAAGCACCGGGGGGGGGGGTCTCAAAGAACTATCGTTGGGAAATGCCCAGACTGGCTGCACTGCTCAGGACTGCCATCTCTGTTGCCAGAAAAGACTTTCCCGCAACCTGCTTTTAGCTAGGAGGCTCCCTGGCATGACGAGGAATGCCTATAGAGTATCCTACAGCATGAGAATCAGTGGCACAGGGAGGATGCTCTGAGAGCTTTTCAGGAATTGCAGGAAGAAGTTGTCAACGCATGGTTCGCCCCAAAATATTCCCAACACCCAACAAGGGTGCCTTCCCCTTTCCCCTTGGTGGACCTTTCGCACAAACCTACACAAGAGTGACGTGAAAAACCCGAGTTCACCCATGTTTCGTCGAGTTCTCCCCCGCCAAGCCAAGCAGCTTCACAGCAATCACGCCCGAGTCACCTGCAGTCACACCCAGAGCTCAAAGACCAGTTTGGGGCCACCAAATTGGAGGTTGTAGGACCTGCATTTTTTATACCTAGGATCGCTTGTATAGGTATGGTGTCCTAATTCAGAATCCTGCGAATGCTTTGAGGGTCGCTTTTATGGAAAGTGTGTTTCACCCGCGAAAATAAATTTTAACAAAAAAACAATGTGTAAAATTGGACGTGGCAACGCTGACCAAACCCGGGATCGTAACCGAGACCCCCAACCCAACCCTTCCCCCCCTCCCCCTTTCACTAGAGAGGCTCCACATGACTGGTGGCACTGTTGAGGGCTGGTGCCCCTACATTAAATAATTATCACGGGCCACACTATGATCCATAAGCCACGAACCCTTTACTAAAGTGACAACAACAAGTTCGATTGAACAATGCATCGCACCGCAACAAATCTACACCATCTGCGCATGGCCTCACCGTGCTTGTTTGACTGACCGAAGTCAGGTTGGAATCAACAACAAAGGTTCTGCTCGCTCAAACGTTTTCGAAGCGTGTGGACGTCTTTGTCGAAAGCAAACTTCAAGCAAGCTCTATCTTTCGTTCCTTCATCGGCTAGGCAAGAGTTGCTTTGGGGGCCTCCGCGTGAGCTCGCAGTCACGCTGTCGGGAATCGAATTCAATTGGGGGCCCCCACGGTTTGCATCTTTCGCATGAGGAGTTTCGTCAGACAGGGCCAGGTGTCGAATGTAGTCGTGATCGTCTCCATGGGCATGGCTCAAACAGTGTCAGCACGGAAGGCAAACAAAGAGCCCAAGCCAAACGTACAGGACGCCAAGGGGTGTTTATACATGAGCCAGCCGGACAGAGCTTCTTAGGATCATGATCAAATCCTCTCATAGGAATCTGTTCAATGGTGCCCAATCCACTTTTGAGGGGGTGATGACCACCACGAGCAGCCTGGGCGTTTGATGGCTTTTGAGCATGGCATACATACAGTAAGTTGGCAAAATAACTCCACAAAAGGAAGTCAACCTAGCAAAGGTACACATAAACAGTCACTACACCTGAAATGGGCTGTATAAATATAATATATATATATATATATATATGTATACATATATACCTACACACACACAACATTTATGCTCTTTAAGGACCCCCCCCCCCCAAAGCCGTGGTTTCCCCTACGGCCCCCCCCCGGTCAGCTTCTGCATTCCACCGAGCAGCCCTCCGAGGGCGTGCCGCTGAAGCTGGCGCTGGCCGGGTCGAAGTGGAGCCATTTGGGCAGCGCCTTGCCATCCGCCAAGGCGGCCGTGAGGTGCAGCTCCTCGTCTTCCTCGGCGTCGCTTTTTGGCTGTGGGTACACCCTCGCCGTGCCCACACAGACACATCGGGCCGAGTGAGGATGCTGCATGTCAAAGGGTGTTAAATGGCTGTGGGTCAGAACCAATGGTTCCATTTTGGGGTAGGTGAATTCACCACCCATTTTAGAAACGATTTTAGTGGTTGGATTGGGATGTTCACTAGGGGCTAACCAATTTGGCTTTTGACCCATGGCCATTTCACCTACCTGGCACTGGGAGGGTACCCGGAAGATCAGCTTCCTCTTAGACTTATAGAAAGGAGCCCCCATGTCAGGTGCTCTGTTAGTGGGGGGGACGGGTATACTTCGACAAGTTCTGGGCGTCAATTTGCGGGTTAAATCGCCTATCTACCCACAAATTCCGGGGCTCAATGGTGGTGTTCCTTTCAAACAAGGGCACCCTCAATTTTTCTGGACACGCCCAGCCTAATATGGGATGCGATCATGTGATTGTCCTTTGCTGCAAGATGGATCTGCTTGTTAGAACCCATTTAGGCCAAGTCGAGTCAAAACCTGGGAAAACAAAAACTGGCCTGCCCAAAACCATTCTTGAGCAACGCTCAAGTGAATGTCAGAGGCTGCTGACAAACATGGAACCCGACAAACCCCCTGTTTGGCCTCAGGGCTCACCTCTGTTTGGGCTCCATGTTTTGCGAGAATAATTCTCCTGGGACATCGTTGCCACTTCCACTTTGTATGGTTCTAAAGTGACACTGTACTCATCTAAAGGGGGTTGTCTTGGCATCCTGGAAATGATCATGGCAATGCCAGCGTCATGGTGGGCCACCTTTCGCTGTCTCTATCGAGAGCCAATCTTCCAAAGTGCCGTGCCTGAGGGGATTTTTTTTTCGTCCTCGGGCTGCCCCTGGGACTCAGAAAGCGCCGTGAAACCAAAGGTGAAAGTCCAAGCCCGGCGAGTTTCAAAACTCGGGGAGCCTTCAGGCTGCTCATAGCGAAGACGCGGGAGGACAAATTTGCTCCAAGGAAAGCAACGGCGAGTGTCCCTCTGGCTTCCTTTCCGGCCGTTCACGTGCTAGAGACCCACGAGCTTTGCACTAGCCCTCCGACTTTCAAGTGCAGCTTTTGAGATCCATGCGATGCACCTGACAACCTGAAACCTGCTCAAATGAGAAAACATCTTGCCTGAGTCCACAAGGAAGCACTCTACTTGCATACATTAGTGCATCCAATCCAGAATAGACTCAACGCGCAGCCACCTCCGAATCCTGGATATCACGCAGATTTCCAACTGCCTTGACACCGCGGAACCACGAGCCTTGCCATGGAGAACACCTGCCCAAACTCGATCCCCGCAACTGACCAGGTCCTCCAGTAGAGGGGTTAGAATCAGGGCACCCGTTTTTTTTCCTTCTGCAGTCTATTTTTGTAGGGGAACCCTCCCAACCGAAAAAGAAACGCTCAAAGAGCACCAATCATGGGGGATCTAGTTTTGCTGCGGGTTGCTTGACGCAAACCAAGGCCGGGCTCACCGGGCCACCCTCCAACGTGAGTTGAACCGAGCGTCGCTGTCCACGAAGGACCCCCTGGGCACCTTGCGGAACCCCGGCGATGAGAAGAACCCCCCCGTTTTGCACGTGCCATGAACCCAAATTGAGAAACGACCCGCCCTCTCCTTTGAACATCTGCCAAGTGCATTGATTCACCGACACAAACATATATATAATAAGCGCAAAAACAAAAAAAACCTTCGTTAAGGGTGCTATGGCGCCATTTGTGAGTACATGTCCATGCAGGCGGGATATTGGTAGTCTTATGAATGTCTTGACGTGCAGCAAGGGACCAGGCTATTTGCCCATTCGAGCGTAATGGTAAAGTCCAAAAGTTTCCATCCAACAGTCTAAGCACCATTCGTTATCAAAAGAGCGTCCAACTACTTCCAGAGGTCCCCCTAAAACCCTCTTCACCGGAGGGTCCTTTCTGAAGCGGGCAACCATATTACCACCCCCCCCCCCCCGCGTTCAACTGTTCGACCTGAAACCCGCCTGGAAGTGCAGGGCCTTGCCGGGCTTCACGCTCTGAGGCTCCAGGTGGCTTGCCACGAAGGGCGGCTCGTTGCCTGAGGTGTCTGGATTTCGCCCAGTTTCTGACTCGAGGGGATTGGCCCAAATCTGACACGTTTTGTCTCACTTTCTGAGATTTCCTGAGGACCATAAAAGGGTCTGAACTTGTTGTTTACCACTAAAACGGCTTCCCGAAGTATGAAGTCCAACTCAAAAAGTGAGGCTTTGAGCGCCCCCAGAAATGAAGTGGGATGAACTTGCACATGACACAACACTGTCATGTAAGGCCTGAGGACAAGGATCAGCCAAAAATGTCCACGGGATTGTCCTCAAGTTACGCGCTTTCCATCGGAAGTTGACATTTTTGTGCTTCCCAAACACATGAAAGGAACGATCGTAAGCTTCCATGTTGGGAGCGGGGAAGCTGAGCGGGAAAGGGGGAGGGGCACAACTTGTTCCGCATCTTAGCAGCTGCGTTTCTGCAAAATTTGGTCCTTGCTTCCCCAAGAGGCGGGTCCAGGCGGGTCCCTACTTTAAGACAGACCCACAAGGGGAAACAGTCAGAGTTTATATCGGCTTTGTGGTGACTCCCGCTCCCTCCAGGGCCTTAAAGCTAGTTCTTTTGAAGGAGCCAAATTCAAATCGGACCCCTCCGCGTAGTGCGGCGGTGCCTCTGTCCTTTCAAGAGCCCACGAAAAAAGATGCCACTTCCGGGATTCGTGTGAGCCGAGGTCAAGATATGCGATTCCCGTAAGGGACACGATCGGGAAACTGAGTGATTCATGTTCCTCTCAAATGAACCTCTGGATATCTTGACCGAACATGGCATCTCTAGGAAGATAGAAGACAAATCTTTGGGATCAGGTAGGGAAAGTTGGTCTGGCTACAGTGTTCAAAGATGGCTTCGATTGCAAAGCGGAGCTACACCCAAAGGCTTCATTGACTTCATGGGATACACAACCAGTATATACAGGTTCTACTCCCCGTTTTTTCTTGGGGGTAGCATGTTTTGGTTTTTGGTGTTTATTTTTCTTTCTTTCTTTTGCGGGGGGGGGGGGAATGCATCTTAGAGACAGAGTGTGTTGGCAGTTGATCAGGTTGAGTGGGTATGTTGATCGGCACATCATCCATCGGAGTGGTTGGGTGAAGCGCTTTTCGCAACCCTTGGCTCGCTAAACAAAAAACAAACGGTCTGTGCTAAAAAATCAGGGCAAATTGTTTCAAGTCGCACAGCTGAAACATGGAATCCTGGAAAGGAACATTCGTCATGGGTCCGGCCGGCTGCAACCCCCCCTTCACATGGAACATTAATAGCTTTCGTGACAACTAACATAACAACAACCCTTTGGCAACCCCTCCACCACCACTTTTGACGGACAAACGGCACCACCAAGCACACCCTGCCAAGCCTGCGATCTGCGAAAGACCGCTGCCATCGCCTGAGCGCGACAAGAGGAACCCAAGTCAATGGAGCTTGCTAGATAGGGTCCCTAAAAAACATGCGGAAAACTCATCCATCCCCTGTTGGTTTCCTCAGGAGAATCAAAACAAAGCTCTGTCAGGCTGCCAACATCTGCCACATAGCAGCCCGTATCAAGCATCCGAATCCAGGGGGCACCAGCCGGAATCCCAAACACACATGTAGAAAGCATATGTTACTAAACCACAAACTGTAAACCTCTTCCCGAAAAAAACCTGGGAGTAGAAGCGACAGCTTTTGCGTGGCCCAAAAGGAAGAGGACACCTTCCTTCCCCGAAAGTGTTTCAGACCCGCCGACTCAGCAATAGTCACTGCTATATCTGCTATGGCCTTCTTCAGATGGTGCACTTCTTCCGCTTTGCGCTGCAAAAAAAGCTGCTGCCACCGCCAAGAGAGGTGAGTCGTTCATGAAGGTTCCGAAGCTGGGTGTCCAAGTTCCATGAGCCGAAAGGCTCAAGTCCCAAGTCCCAAGGAGCTGCGAGTTCAAAACCCTGGAAGTGCTTGAACTCCAGCTGCCCATAGCGCAACAGAACCGTTGAGAGTAAAGCTTACCAGGGCTTGGTGCTCCCAAACTAAGCCATGACTCATAGAAGCAAGATGCTAGCAATTATTTGGCCCCTCACTTTACATACTCAACTGAACACTTCAAGACTTGATCCTTGTCACTGGGTCCATTTGGCCTGATGGAGGTGATATGCCGAGCCTGGAAACAAGGCCAGAGCCTTCCGACCGAAGCTTCCATCGAGCGCTTCATAGATTCTTCCTTGAGGAAGCATTGTCGTCTCCCTGATGTAATCATCATCTCTTGCGTCATGTTGAAATAAGCTTCCTTGTGGTGTTGCAGGCGATGTGGTGATGTTTACAGGGGGCAACTTCAAAGAATACTGTGAACGCACGAAGGTCCTGGTCAGGTCCCACTCCTACTCCTATCGTACATGGAAAACCCTTGTATCCTTAGGCCGCCCTGGAATCGGTTGGTATAGTTGTGTATTCCTCCTTGTTGGTTTGCAATGTTCTGGGGTTGTGACTGGTTTAATGTGCTCTAAGTTGCTGACGTGGCCACACACACATAACACTTTCAGGAAGAGCAGCTAGGGACGGTCCCTGACAGAACAACATGTCGCGGGGTTTGAATTACACTGGTTCTCCTCCGCTCACCCCCTGCCAAAGGCAACCACAGTAACCTCCAGTGGATTTCCATGGGAACTTGGCACGCGTTTGCTCGGCAGCTGACTTAAAAAAAGGGAAACCCATTTAAACCCTCAAACCAAATGCAAAAGGGTGACTCGGACTGGGCCCCCCTCAAGCAAAGCGTGTTGACTTTATATGGACCTTCAGCAAACAGAGGAACAGAAGTGACGTTCGAATCCCCTCCAACAAGGCAACAATGGTGGCGACAAAAAAGGAAGCCCTCTAACATATAAGGACAACAAGTGACTTTCAAGGAAAGCCCCTGAACAAAAACGGCAAAACAAAAACGTGACCTCAAGGAAAACTGACTCACAGCACAATCCCTGAACAAAAATGGCCAACAGGGTGACTTTAATAGAGGGACGCCCCCTCAAATCAAACGAAAACAAGTGACTTGAAAAGAACACCCCCTTCACAACAAACACACCGCGTCTGGAACAGCTAACCTCGCCGCGGCGCCCAGGATGATGTCGAAACTGTCCGTCACAGACAGGTGCTGCGAGTCCATGGCGGTGAGCAACACCTGGCAAAGAAATAGATCAGTGGGTTCCCCTCGCAACTGGTCTTTTTGTTGCCTGGGAGCGGGGCGGCGGTGGGCTTGATTGCATTTCGGGGTCTATTTTGCCTGGAATTTAGTGTATGTGTGGTCTGCGCTCTTGCTTCCCCTGGGGTTTCAGGGTTTGACGAGTGGGTCACGCGTTGTCTTGTTCAGTTCCGCTGTGGTTTTCAGGGCGTGACCAGTTTGTTTGACCCATCTTGTTGCCTGTTTGGTTGCCTTAAGGGTCATCAAGGCGTCACTGTCTTTCGCGTATGTTTGGGTTCGCGGGGGTTGTACGGCTGGTTTCCCTGTGAGTTTAAAGGTGTGACTACTTCTTGGGGCACCATGCTCACTTGTTTGATCCCGCTGGGGTTACAATTGTGTAACTAGTTTTCGGGCATGTCTTGTTTCCCCTCCTGACGATGTTTCGGCTTTTGTTTTAAATCCACAGGGACACCAACTTCTAGTGGCCCGCGTAAGCTATCGTCCACGGAGCTATCACCCGACCCGCATGGACTATGGAGTCGAACCTGACAAGCTTGAAGAACCGCGGCGAAATCAAGGATAGCCAGAACCTATCCTCAGACTATGGGCAGAATCGCTGTGAAAATGGGGAAGGCTGAAGAGCACGAATCAACCAAGATGGCCTACCAGCATCTGATGTTGGTAAATCAGCTGCAGGGTTGACCCCCAGCCAATTGTGCGAGGCGAAGAGGACTCCCTGGGCAAAAATCGACCAGTAAACCGACCAGTCAAATCGACCAATCAACCCAGAAATCCTGGTGCTTCCTGGTCCTTCCATTTTCGAAGATTGCCGTTGTTGCAGGGAGCCCGCATGTTGGGCTTCTCTCCTGTTCGGGAGCGCGCCTCCAAGACACCTGTAAGATGGGCAGGGGGCCGGCCATAGAATCTGCCGTGCTCCTAAGCTTTTTCCCGAAGGATGGCTGGTGTCCTTTTGGTTTCCCGTTAATATAAACCAACATAAACAAGGGCATCCTCAACATATATATATATATATATATGTATATATATACATATATATATATACATATTTACATACCCAGTGGCAACTACGGACCCTGAAAGACAAAGGAACGCTTTTTGAGGTTGACAAGGGCGACTACTCAATACTATCAACTGTTGTTGGCCCTGAGGTTGGACACCCAGGAAACAAAGTGAGTTGGAGGGTGCCACTGAACTGGATTCGACGGAACCATTGCACCATGGCCTCGGACCTGTCATCCTTTTTTTGGGAGAAACATCATCGAGACCCCTTTGCGTGAACATTGCTTTGCGAAAAGCGGCCTCTGAGACAGAGTGGTACAGGATCTTCATGTTTTGCCCCAAGGCGGATTACAAGGCAAGCCCGTTGGACAGCCCGAGAAGAAGCCGTCCACTATTCCCCGAAATGCTTGTTTATTGATTTTGAATGCCCACCTTGACGGACCCTGACACGACCCCAAAGAAAATGGTCATTTTCCTAGGTGCAATCCCATGCTGTGTTTACCCAATTTCAACTTCGAGCGATGGTTTTCTTGGTTTAAAAACACACACCGCAATTGGCAACGACTTCAACCAAACACCGGCAAACGCACCGTTTTGGCAACGGCTTTGTGGATCGGATCAACACCGGCCGCGCCGGAGAAGCCGAGCGGCAGCATCGAAATGAAGCCAAGCTGGCAACTTGGACCCGTCCTGTGGGCACCGTGGGAAGCCCTCACAAGTTGCTTCACTCGAGCCGTACTTTTTGTTGCTCGCTTATTCTGATCTGTACGAAATTTTGAAAGGGAGGGAAATCCATAAGGCCTTCTGAACCTGCACGTAAATTTCAGCTGAAAGGAAGAAACATCCATAAGGCGTTCATGGTATAAACCTCGAGCTCGCCAGTCCCATGACAAGAAGTCATACCTTCGCGATGGCACCACGCAAGTCCGGCTATGACTCCCATCCTGCAAGCGACTTTCCCTTGTCGTCCTACACCATGCGAGCATTGCAAAGGGGATGTGGATGGGCAGAAGCCAAACCTGGAAAATCTGAGTATTCCCCAACTAGGAGTTGAACTGATCAATTGTCAGCTGGACAGAGCTGAAAAATGGGCCTGCCGGATTCCTGGTCTACCAAAGGGGTCTAAAGAATAGTCCTCGGGCCCATTCTTTGTGACGCCCGCTTTTTGGAAAATCAAAGAGGCTGCCAGAACAATCTCAGCCCCTATAAGCGATCGCCAAATGATACCCTTCGCACGGTAACTTTGTTCCCCTCCAGCTTCTGTACATACTCTTCAGTGGACTCTATGCAGCAAAGCACTGCGCCACTTCATGTTTGCATACATCATCAAGCATGCAAAACATACATCTTCCACAGTGAAGAAGGAGACTTGCAAGCTGGCAAACTTGCTTTGACCCTTTTGGATCCGCAAGGCCCCCCCCTCAAGCCCCTGCAAAATGCTCGCAAAATGTTCACCTTTTGCGGCCATGACAGTAAACGAGAACTCGATCACCAAAAGGCCACAGGCCGGAGCAGGGTGGTCCTTAGAGCCAGGTTCAGCACAAGTTTCGCACCTAGACGTTTCCGCAAAGAGCATTGTCCACAGATGTTGCCAGTCTTGAAAGGCCAACCCCTCCCATGGTTGGCCCACCCATGTCCGGCTTGTGCCTTGTTCACGCACATGCTTCCAACAAGGACCAATATCACACGCCAAAACCAACCTGTGCCTCGCCCACCATTATGGGCTTTTCTGCACTTGAAAACCGATTTGATTCATAGAACTAACTTTTTCGATGATCGAGCCCCTCAAATTTAGCCCTCCCACATGAGTGCCGATTGAGCCCCTCATTTTTTTCCCCACATTTGTTGACGCCAGGCCCAAACAAACACCGCCCATCTCCGGGAAGCTTCGCTCCCCTTCCCCCCAAAAAATTTTTCGGCGGGTCCGTGGTGGAGGCCCAGAAGTTGAGCTTCTCCCCGTCCGTGGCGTCGATGAACATGCCCTCAGGAGTCCGCGAAGGGGCGGAGGCAATTGGGCGGCTTGGGCCGAAGGATCTGTCCCATTTGGGGTGGAGTTGCATGGCTGTGGTGGTCAAAGCCAACATTGGGGTGACATGGCGGTGGTGGTCAAAAAACCGTTTTGGGATCCCATTTTGGGTGGTAGGTGAATTCACCACCGGTTTGAGTCTATTTTAGGGGGGAGTGGGATGTTCACCAGGGGTACAGGGTTTTGACCCACAGCCACATGGAAGTCATTGGCCATGATCAAAAACAATGCATCATTCCCTAGTGCTTCTCATGGCCGGCGGGATTTCATCGCAATGTGCGACTTCTGAAAATGACAAGTTCCACGCAGGAAGCAACGAGTCGGTGTGTGGTGCTACTCATACCGTGAGTTTCTCAGATCAAACCGCTTGCAACACGCACACAAACGGACAGAGACGGACAGAAGCTTGGAAGGTCAGGTGTTGCACTCCCAAAATCGACGTGAATCCAAGTAAACTTGCACATGCGCACCCCGACCAGAGACATCGTCAGAAGACCGCAGGTCACAACTCCGTGTGCAAATGATGGTCCTGATCCCCCCAACATCGATTGTCGAAGTTCCTCAAAACACACCTTAATCTTCCATTCTAAATTTCAGTTTGACTTGCTAAGTTTGACTTGCTTGCCCAAGAGGCATGGCAAGCACAATCTTCCCCATTTGGCTTTCCACCGCCACCCAAACATTCGATGCGCCTCGATCGCTGGCTCCCTGCCTTGGGCAGAGAGTAGACAAAGTCTTTCCCAGGTGTAAGATGTTGCGTGGGAATGGGCCTCAGCGGAAAAGATGGACTGAGGGCAAAACTGGGCGAAAGATGGGACCACAGTGGGATAATGTTCTTTTTTGTTTGCTTCACTGCCCTGATGTTTCCAATGTACCTTTCTTCCTGCATGCTATCCGCAACTGGTGCAAAAGAGGGGGGCACGACGCATTCCAGTTTGTCACTCTTTTGTTCGGGGAAACTGTTGGGACCCCGAGTCGTACAGCTGAGGCGCCCAAACGAAGGGGAACCAGGTCCGCGACCAGGGCCGAGCAGCACAACCGACGTTTCCAAGCATGGAGCAAACAGGCAGTAAGGGATCAAGAAGGGATTGCATGATGCTGTGAAGGACAAAGGGGACGACATGGGACGACCTTGTTGCCCAAAATTTGGCTAAGGGTGATTGTGGAAACCCTTGCGGCGCTCTCCGTGACATACTATGTACAGGGCAATTTACCAGGCACATCCATTGATCAATACATCCACTCGGTGTACATCAATAGGATCATACTGAAATAGATCCAGGGTCGCAGCAATAGCGAGTCAATTGGGACACCTTGTCAATCAACATCTTAGCTGATCATCCGGAAATTCAAGAACCCTCCTTGTGTCCCGTGACTAAGAGCCAGGGACCGATAAAGGCCATGACCTTCTCATGGCTCCCTGACACCGAATTTCCCCTTCAAAGCTTGCGATTCTCGGGTGGTTTCCATTGACTCTCCGCCACGCGGAGTGGAGCTGCCGGGCGGCTTGGTGAGCGCAGGGCCACCGCCGATGTGGATGGTCAGTGTGGTGGTCTCTTCCACGCCGGCGGCATCCACGCCCGTCACCTGCCGCCGTGGGGCATTTCGCGTCTCGGATCAATTACCAAAATCAAGCTTGCACGGCCAGACATCGGCCAATCAAGCTTGCACATCAAACAGAAGTCCGAAAGAGTAGCTGAGTGCTGACAAGTTACTTGGCATGTAAAGTTGCAGGTACCATACCGCCGTGGCCATTCAACTTCCTCATACTCATAGCATTCCCAATTCTTAGCCCAAGTCACCTACGTGGGAAGTCTCGCCTTGGATATGAATCGGGTCCCCAAAAAGATGTCAACCCCTTACTGACACAAGACGAACCTTACCATGTCAAAATAATGCCGCCTTTACACAAATGTATGCAGGGGGGAGTAGATGATGGGAATTTAGACAAACCAATCCAAGGTGCCCCAACTGGTGGACAACATAGTGCTGCCCCTATCCAGAAACGCCACAAGTTGGGCGAAGAAGTGGGCCCAGTGACAAGGAATAGCTCTCTCTGCACCAAATGGGCTCAACTAAAGGGCAATGTCAACTGACAAGCGACACACATTCCTAGACACGCACACTCCAAAATACAACTTGGGATTTCCAAGCACTTTGCCCCCTTTGGGTTGGGCACACCATTTGAGTGTCTTCTTGCAACACGTCCCACCTGGAGGCTAGGACACTTCTTCCCATCCAAACAGCTTCGGGTCGATGCGCTCCGGGCCTTGACGTTGATGATGCCGCGATTCTCGGGGCCCGGGGTGCCGGAGAGCGTCACCGTCTTGCTGTTGAAGTGGAGCCATGCCGGCAACGTGGCTCCTGGAACCCCAACGCGGAGGGGGGGCAATAGGAGAGTGGCTACAAGCTGACTCACTCATTGACGCCCGGACTCCCAGTTTGGACCGTGTCTTTTTTGGAGGACAGGTATTCTTTCTTCAGCTTGCTTCTCCAGTGACTGTCCTGAACATTTTCAACAGAGGCTTCCCTGAACTTGCGATTTCGGGATCTGCCACGTCATCCCCAAGGGAAGCTCGCCATGAAATTCCGATCAACGTGGATTCAAAGCCGGAACATAAATTGTCGAGCATCCGAGAGGGTGGCCCGTTTTTGCGGTTCCATGTGAAATGGCAGGGGAGTAGAAACCGCAAGGCGTCAACATAGCGGACCCCCCTGAAAATGAGTGCTTGCAAAAAATACAGACGCACCATGACATCATAATCCTTGCCGCAGCCCCTCCGCTTCGCTCCTCCGGATGTGGCCCTGAAGTGCCCAGTCGACTTGGAGAACCTCGAGATTGGAATGCCAAAGCTGTCCGGTGACCCTTTCGGGGTTGACTATTTTAGCGGGGAACCCAAGAAACAGTTCGGGGTTTAGAAAGTGCCGCCGGGCAAAGACTCCATGGAAGCATCAGCTAGACAGCCAACCACGCAGCATGGAATCATACAGTGTCTGGCTTTGCAGAAAAGGTTGCAGGTCCACGCGTGCTTGAGCCACGCGTGCTTGAGCGCCGCGCGAATCATTCCGGCTCAAATCATTGAATTTGACACGTCCCCCCCCACCCCACGCCCTAAACCTTCTCTCGAAGGCCTTTTGCAAGTCGCTCTCCACTCTCCCAACTATCCACTGCACTTGACTTTCTCCAAGCCTGGCGGAAATACAAAGATTTGCTCAGTGAACATAAGGCCTGGACCCCTCAAAAAACGGAACCCAAGCAAGCCACTGGAGGTTACCCTATGCCAAGGCACAAGCCGCTGGGAAACTTGTACTCGAACGGCACCCCCGTTCGGGTGCGGATTGGCACCTGCGTCTCTCGGAACTTGGATTCGCTCGGCTTCTGTTGTCGCAAAGGAATTCTGCATGGGTCGTTCTGAGGAATGGGTTGGAAACCCTTATTGGAGGGTGGCAAAAAGGTAACCAACGGAAGCCCACCACATTTGGGAATCCCCAATATTTTGGATACTGCCTTTGGTGGTTGTAAGATCACAGGGCACGCACACCGTGCATCTTTCAGGAGCATTCACCACGAAGGTAACCCATGGACATCAACATTCAACAGGTCAAACCATGAAACCGATGCAACTGATTCGTGGGATCCGTTTGCTTCAGACATGGCTGGAGTTGTTTGTCGGTTGCAGGCTGCGAGCTCCATACAAATCGTGACCGAGACAGGTGGGTTGGGTTTGTCAAGAGGGCCTCTCTTTACATGGCTCGTTGGATTCTCTTCCACTGCCTAAGGGTCCAAATACCTAAGGAGGTACTTTGAGCGCTTTTAACCCTTCGAAAAACCATCCTCAAAAGGCACTTGGAGATTCTGTCACTGGAGTCACCCTTTTGGTACGCATGCCACGTTAGCAGGCTGTGCGTGTTGACTGCTGGAGACCCAGCCCACGGTGCATGTGGCAACTAGAACCTGGGAGGACACATCCAATTGCAATGAGCCATAGTAGTAAAGAAACGATCACACACACACAACCACACATACACATACAACCACACACACAACTACACATGCACATGCACATACACATGCACGTACACATGTACATTGTGCACGTACGTGCAGGTCATCGCTCAAGATGGCACTTTCAACAAATGAGGCAAGCTAGCCAACTGGTCTACTAGCCAACACATGCGAAATATCAACAAGATCCCGAATTGCTACCGGGAAGAAAAGCGCAATAGTGTCAATCCCGGACTAATTGGGAGCGCGTTCCCTCAAAAGTGAGGGATTCCCACTATAAATAAGGCACGTGCTAATCAACCGGCCGAACGCCTCTATTTTCTTGAACCTTTAAACGATCCTCCGTTAAGCACCTCACCAGGCAGCCCCCAGCATGTTTCACTGTTGCCCAGTGACCCTGGCAGAACAAAATGAACTGCTGGGCTTCCTGAGTGTATTCGCACCAAAACAACATGTGTACACTACACACTCCAAATGAACGTGAAACCCAACAACAGGGTTCCCACAACCGGCGTTTCCTCTGCAAAGTCAAAGGGACGTTCTTCCTGGGTTCTATGTTAAATTTCCACCAGTGTGGCCATCCCGTTCCGGCTTGCTGACTTCGGTTTGCTCGGCTCGGCTCGACGCGACCTGTCCGCTCTTCTGGGGGTCCAGGGCGACCTGCTCAGCCAAGTCCGTGTGCCACTGCCCCGGGTTGTCCTTCTTCGCCTCACGGGATCTCGACAGCCACCAGAAAGCCGCCCAAGCCGACGCCGGATCAAAACCGGCCCCCCACCAAAAAAAACAAAGCCGCACAACTCCCCCCCGAAAAAATATATAAAATGACACGCAAATCAAGCAAAAAAGGGCGAGCAACGACCGAACACAACCAACACAGTAACACGCACCAAAAAGGAAGAAGAAGCACCAACAGCATCTCGCCGCCTTGCACATCAGGGCGTTGAGGCAGGCCCACTGCGTAGTGCGCGCCATTGCACCCGCGGTAGATGCAAAGGTCATGCGCACCTCCGGGTGTTGCAAGTTGGAGCCGGGTTCCGAGTGGGCGGCTTCAACCCATGGAATGTTTCTGGAATTTGCCTTTCAAAGCGCCCGAAAAAGAAAAGAAACAAACGAACACCAAGAACAAGTGGCCAAGAACGATCCGAAGAAAAACATGGTCCAAATCTGGACCAATGAATTTACTACCAAGTCACTCCCCAAGAAGAACAAGGAGAAGTCAGCGTAACCCCATTGTCAGACTTTGAGAACCAAACAAACCTTGGCCAAACATGCCCCCAATTCGCTGTCTTCAGCAACGGGGGGTTGTTGGCGTGCCCTGCGAAATGAGTGGTTTTGAGAAAAACACCTAGCACAATGCCGTCCCCATTTGTGGACACTCCGAAACGCTGTCGAAATTTAGGACATGGAATACATAGTGTCCAAATTGGATAGCATATCCACAATGGATAGCATAACATAATGTTACATTGTTCTAAATGTCCTAAATGGAATGCATTCTCAATTGTCCTACATGCAATACATAGTTTTAAACCTGAGCTGCAATTAAGAGCTGCCCAAGTCGACCAAACCTCATGCTGACGTTTGATTCGACATCCAAACCCCAAATGCTGGGCTGGCTGTTGCTTTTACTGTCTGTGTTGGAGGTCCAATTTTTAAGCGCAAAACACATAATGTCCAATTGTGTGGTTTAAACATCACCAGAGAAATCGTTGAAACTAGTTTCCCTTGCATGGGGTGATGTTCACAGGGGACATGTAGGGAACCCTGTACTTTTCGTCATGGAAAGCGGTGAGCGGATGACAGCTGGGGCAACTTCACTATCTTTTGGGGTATACACCAACAGTAGGGGCTTTGTCAATGTCGGTTCTCCTTTGATTCCCCGAACTTCAAAGGTCTAAGGTCCAAGTTCAAGATTTCTCCCCCGTCCCCGCCCCCATCCCAAACATCCCAAGAAACAAGTCAAAGGATGTCAAAGGTCGAAGGTCCAAAGGGGAACTCTCAGCTTAGTCCGACAGGCAAGCGGAACCGAAGAAGGCGCCTTTGTCACATCCTTGAACTCAAAAGCGATGGACCTGCCAGTCGCACGCAAAGCGACGTACTGGCAGCTGCTGGACGCATGTAAACCAGTTCGGGGAAGCTCTAGATGCAGAGGTCAAGACAATACGTTTGGTTAACAAGAACGCGCATGGCCAAACAGTGGCGCCTGAGAAAGAAAGAAAAACAAGGCGCTCGAGCAACTGTGCCAGACACCAAGTGCCAAGAAGCGTTCAGGAAATCTAAAGGAGCCCATAGATTTGAGAGGACGGAGAGAGCAGCACGGGTCGAAATCCTCAGACCTCAGTGGCCATTTTTTGGCCACCCTTCTGGTAGTTCCTTTTAACCAAAACACCCCAAGAAACTGGATAAAGGGCACCGAGGCCTGGGAAACCATGAAGCCTCAAGGTTCTTTGATTTCGGTTGCCGGCCCTATCCGTAGCCCTTACAATGGTCAACATCTCAGGGTCGATTCCCATCCATGTTTCACCATGGCGATTCTTTTTCCCCCAGGGCACGCTGGTTCCATGGCAGCATATTCTAGCCCTTGAAGCAACTCACGTCAGTCGTGGAGCCGAGCAGCTTGTCCTCATCAATCTGATGCTCATGCACCACCTGCAAGGCACGGCATGGCAGTGGATGATGGAGTGGACCCACCAACATCGGATTCTCTTGAAACCAAACTGGAAAGCTACCCTCTGAAAGCAATGCCCTCCTATTCATCAACAAAGGGTTGGGCCAAATTGGGACGTGCATGCTTCCAACAAACTGCGACCATTTCAAGCACGGATCACTTCATGAAACTGCCCCTACCACCCCAAGCGTGTGTTTCGGTCTGTGATTCATGTTTTGCCGCTGAAGCCCCAATGTGCAACCCTTGCGGGAAGGCCTCCCAATTCCAAGCATCGAGATATCGAAACGCTCGACACGACGTATATCTTTCAATTTGTAGCCGTGTCAAGAGGTCAACTCAATCAAAGGCTGAATGGTACAACAAGAAGGACCCCCCCAAGTCACTAAGTCTGAATCTCCAGTTTAGACCTATGGGCCGATCCAAAAGACGCAAAAGAGACCTGGCGCATGGGTGAAGGTCGGGACCCGTTTGCCATGCTCAAAATTATTCCGGCCGTGGTCGGCTAAAACCCCAGTCGAAAAAACAACGCACCATCTCTAGTAGGCCCAATGTGGGGCCATTGTATTTTATGATATATGTGTATATGTTCAGACTCCCTCAAAAAGGGTTGATAATTGCCACCAGCTTATAATGCTTGTCTTATTTTGTCGTTGAAGTAAAACCCAACGAACCAAGCAGGAAGCCCATTGAAAGAATGGGGCGTGTTCTTCCTCCGGGAATGCCAGGTCCAAATCTGTGCTTCAAACCTCGAAGGCCTCGGCCAAAGCGAACGACACCGTCGAGTCCCTCGAAGACCTTTTGGGTTGGTTCTTTCTAGGGAAACCCATCTTTTTGGTGGGTTCTAACGCAGTTTGGCAAACAAATCAAACTGAAACAAGGGATCCTCAAGTTATAGGATCTTTACCCTAAGATCCCAAGTGACAGGATCGTTACCCTGGTGTGCTCGTCCTACCAGGCAAGCTCGCCATGAACTGTGCAGGACGCATCTTGGTTGCTGCAACGACCCCCCTGCAAAAAAAGATCTTCGCTTCTTAGGGGGCAGGCTCGGAACCCCGCTTGATCCAACCCAATTCATGTACCAAAAGGGGTTTCCCAACTCTAACTTTTTTTAAAGGGCAGGACGCCCTTGATATCAACCATGAAAGTCTCCCGCCAGATCCGTTAAGATATCCAACTCAGACTTCTCGTTCGGCACGCCTTCACGGGGTTGTCCTGGTAGGTGCCCAGCTCCGTACCTTCGAAGGCATCGCCATTGGAGGTCTTCACCTCGGCAGAAGTGCAAAAGAAGGCGAACCAAAGTCGGAGTGCCAGGACGAATGTGTGTTGCCCCCCAAAAGAATACGATGTATATATATATATATGTATAATATAGATACTAAATACATATATCATATGAATATATATGTATATATGCAGATTGAGTGAACCTTGCTGCGGCAGGTAGAGAAGGGGAACCTTGTTTGGGGGCACTGTGTGCAGTGGGTCCAAAAGACCCACCATTCAGTACAAAAGGAAGAAGGGTGCTGCTGAAGAAATGAGGGCTACAGGCACTTCACCAAACTTCGAGCTGCAAACCGTCCAGTTGCGGTTGGTGTACCGAGCGGTTCTTTTTCTTTCTCGACTTCCTCCCATAGGTGCCACACGTTGAACTGCCGGAGCCATGTCTGATCTTTTGGGCCACATGAACCTCTTTGGCAATCCAACATGGAGGAGTTCTCCGGTTGCATGCCCCAATCGACCTGTTTGTTGCAAAGAAAATGATGGAATCCCAAAAGGGCCAAAGGGCAGGTCAGCTAAGCCAAGCCTGGCAAGCACATGCTGCTCAGGAACGCTTCAGAGATCAGCGCACCTTCTTTTGTGGCTTCTTCTTTTGTTCGAAGCGACAGCGCCGTCCAAACAAAACACACACTGGCAACAAACACGGGGAGAACCGGCACTCGCCGTATGGACTTTCTTCTAACTCGCTGGACTCGTCGCAGCTCTCCAAAACCTAGGGGAGGGCTTGGGAATGCCCGCCTTCTTCACCTGAGTGGTGTTGGTGAGGTACACCATGTTGTATGGCTGTAGTGGGATCACGCGCTCCACGCCCTCGCCTTTCTTTTCGTCCCTGGCGAAAAAGGCACGAGGGTATCAACCGAACACGGAAAAGAGGCCAAGGTCCTTGTTTCCCACTTGTTGAGTTCCTCCGCTGCATGCTCTAAATCAGAAGAAAGCAACACGGATTTCAGGTGCCGTCATTTCAGCTTGACTCTCAGTACTTGCCTCTCTTGTGAGCCAAGAAAGGTGGTTGTCCGCACGTTTGGACTTAGTGCCATTTGTGAGGGCACCCCTGTTGAGATTTGCCCAAAGATCAAAGGGAAACCGCCTCCCATTTGTAGGCTTCCCCCATGCAACCCACCCACTCTTCTCAGGAATCAACAGCACGGCCGATGCACTCATCAACTTCCAGGTGGCCGATCTGGGTGAATCATAACAGTTCACCAACCTGCAATAACGTGCTTGGGGGGCTATTGCCCACATAAACCGCCATTTGGGGTGAGGTCGTGAGAGGTCGTTATAATTCAAGCAGAACCATTCTGTGGTCGCCGAAACAAGTCGCGTGCCCTTTGAGTGGCACGCAACACCTCAAGCTCGTGACATCGTACAAGACCCTATGCGGGAGTGACTCCAATCAAAAACGGTGTCTCCCCAACTGAAGCATAGAAAGGTCAAAGAACCTTCGCCCTCTAGATTATCCCGGCAACAGTTCAACTGTCAGACTGTCAAGACGAGGTTCTTGAGAGGAACAGGAGGACAGGGTATTAGGAGTATTCGTCGGGGGGGTTCTCAAAAAGGTGAAGCCCTTTTGGATAGCTTCCAAAACCAAAGCATTTCAGGGGTCCCCTATTTTGAGAAACGGGTCCCGGTCAAGGTCTTGGTGGTATCCCTGGGGCTGCTGGATATCGGACTACTTTCTAGGGGATGTGTTGAAGGCAAACAACAGCAAGCGATGAAAACCCCCCCAATTCGGAGACAAAGCCAAATAAAGACATACCATACAAGCAGCACTGTCGCGGCGACTCCCCAGTCGGGTCGACATGACATCATGACATTGGATGAAGAAAATGCATTGCTGCAGATTCATATGAAACCCAAACTGATGCCCCAAGAAATAAATTATTCTACAAATGAGTCCATGTTAGCACGGGAAGTACACTGAATCATGGCATTTCTATATTGACCATAAGACTGGAACGTTGGACCGAGCCTCACATGGGCTCAGACTTGCCCGGCATGGCGGTCTCTCAATGCGTGCCTTCCGTGTTATGTGAGGTTTCCAGCTTGTGTGCAGTTGTCATCTCCTGCAAGGAACACCTACGGCGATTCCCACAAACTGGCACTCCATGAGAGTGACCGTGAGAAAGGGAGGCGAACAGAATTGTGAGAACCCCTGAACATGATCACCTTTCTTCTGTCGAAGCAGGCTCTGACTACAGGTACAGTTGGACACCTGGGACTTTCTATGGTTCCAGCTTACTTGCCTGACCGCATTAACCATCCAAGAGTGCTATAAGTTACATGTATTATGTATATTATATGTTTGTTTCATGTACACATTCGCAATTTGTGTGTCTGTTCACACAGCACTGACTGTTGGAAGTTTCGCAGGGAACACATATGAGAAGTACATCTTTTTGGGACGCTCCATACACCAGGGCTTGGCACGCCACCACAAAACAGGTCGGCGCCTGTCCATGTCATAGATGCTGATGGTGAAGGTCCGGAGGGTCACGGGCTTGCCGTCGGAGGTTGTAAAACCTGCCACAGGCCACCGGGATGCCAAAAAATAAGACGCACACCTGGTTTTGAGTGCCTGACTTGAGGGTGGTTGGACATGGATCCACTCAGCATACAACTGGTGCACATGACTTTGACCTCACCTAGGTCCTCCGGTAGAGAGGTTAGAATAAGGGTACCCTTCTTTCTGTAGTCTATTTTAGTAGGGGAACCCTCCCCCAAAAAAGGGTAAAAGGGCACTATCAATAGCACATTGGCACTAGTTGCTGGCACCTCCAAGAAATCGCCCCAAAGGCCTAACAATCACTTCCCTCAAGTACTGAATGTATACGCCCATATATGAACCCCTAGTATGAACCCCTACTTTATGGGTAAATTAAACGTTCGTTATGGCTTAATTATTGGAGATCAGCCCCCTTTGGAGTCCAAAATGGCCGGGGGTTCATATATGGACATATACAATCAGCCTTGGATTACCCGAGTTTTGATTCTGGCCCAAGTGGGGTGGCTTTCCCAATCTCTCTCCTGGTGGGTCTTCTTTTCTGGGTTCACTGTCTGCATAATTATATGTATATATATGTATACATACATTATACATACATCTATACGTATATATAATATAATATAATATAATATAACATAATATAATACAATATAAGATAATATAGTATAGTATAATATAATATAATATAACATAATATAATACAATATAATATAATATAGTATAGTATAATATAATATTATAATATAATATAATACAATATAATATAGTATAGTATAGTATGATATAATATAACAAAATATAATATACTATAATATAATAATCTAATATAATGTAATATAATATGATACAATAAATCACAATATAATGCAGAATAATATAATATAATGTAATATGGCATGATATAACAACTTATAATCTGATGAACTATGATATAATAAACAAACATATGATATTATCACATATAATCTGATATAATATAATAATATAATAATATAATAATATAATAAATATAATATACTATAACATAATATAATAAAATATAATATACAGCGAGATGGACCAGGCATGTCTATTTTGCCTGCGTGGGACACTTAGCATGGCAAAGCAGAACATAGCTTTGCGGCTGGTCATTATGGTTCCTCCTCAACGTAAAAGGAATTGGTCACGCAAAACCTGAGAGATGTAACATGATTAAACCCCAAGACGCCAAACGTGCCCTGGCTGAATCATCAGTATCATCATGCGGCCTCCCCTCCATGCACGCCAAAACCAAGGACGAACCTCGGGGCATCCCCAGCTAGCACATTAGCGCATCGTGCCGCTGTCATACGCCCGCGTGGGTCAATCAGCCCATGGCGGGAGCGTTGGCCAATAAGATGCAAGCGCAACTGCCGCGAAGAGGTGACTCACCGTTTTCCGGGACGGCGTACGCCATTCCCATTGCAGGAGCACTCTGGCAGTGCGCCCCACACCCGGCCAGCAGTGTGCAGAGATCTATGATCTCCTGGGTAGGGCCAATCATTCCTCGATCTTCTTCGCGGCACCGCTCCTCTTGTGTTTGGTGAGGCTTGGACCTTCAAACATGAAGAATTGGACAAGCCAGGTTCGGCAGGTGTGTCTCTTTGCGAGCAATTCTTCAAACATGGTCTTTTCCTGTCACTTTCATCATGTGCTTCCAAAAAGCAAGCACGGATTTGGGCATGCCGACGCCTGAAACACACAACAGTATTGAACCGCAAGACTCCGATTGTGCTTTTGACCATGCACCGCTGCAGCAGCTACATTATGTTGTGGCCTCCCCTCCATGCACGCCAAAACCAAGAATAAACCTTGGCTCATCCCAGCGAGCACATTAGCGCATTGTGTCGCTGTCATACGCCCCGTGGGTCGATTACCCACAACGGGCGCGTTGGCCAACAAGATGCAAGCGCAACTGCGGCGTTGCAGGAGCAAATTGGCAGTGCGCCCCACACCGGGCCAGCAGTGTGCAGAGATCTATGATCTCCTGGGTAGGGCCAATCATTCCTCGATCTTCTTCGCGGCACCGCTCCTCTTGTGTTTGGCGAGGCTTGGACCTTCAAACATGAAGAATTGGACAAGCCAGGTTCGGCAGGTGTGTCTCTTTGCGGCAATTCTTCAAACATGGTCTTTTCCTGTCACTTTCATCATGTGCTTCCAAAAAGCAAGCATGGATTTGGGCATGCCGACGCCTGAAACACACAACAGTATTGAACCGCAAGACTCCGATTGTGCTTTTGACCATGCACCCCTGCAGCAGCTACATTATGTTGTGGCCTCCCCTCCATGCACGCCAAAACCAAGAATAAACCTTGGCTCATCCCAGCGAGCACATTAGCGCATTGTGTCGCTGTCATACGCCCCGTGGGTCGATTACCCACAACGGGCGCGTTGGCCAACAAGATGCAAGCGCAACTGCGGCGTTGCAGGAGCAAATTGGCAGTGCGCCCCACACCGGGCCAGCAGTGTGCAGAGATCTATGATCTCCTGGGTAGGGCCAATCATTCCTCGATCTTCTTCGCGGCACCGCTCCTCTTGTGTTTGGTGAGGCTTGGACCTTCAAACATGAAGAATTGGACAAGCCAGGTTCGGCAGGTGTGTCTCTTTGCGAGCAATTCTTCAAGTCTTATCCTGTCACTTTCATCATGTGCTTCCAAAAAGCAAGCACGGATTTGGGCATGCCGACGCCTGAAACACACAACAGTATTGAACCGCAAGACTCCGATTGTGCTTTTGACCATGCACCCCTGCAGCAGCTACATTATGTTGTGGCCTCCCCTCCATGCACGCCAAAACCAAGAATAAACCTTGGCTCATCCCAGCGAGCACATTAGCGCATTGTGTCGCTGTCATACGCCCCGTGGGTCGATTACCCACAACGGGCGCGTTGGCCAACAAGATGCAAGCGCAACTGCGGCGTTGCAGGAGCAAATTGGCAGTGCGCCCCACACCGGCCAGCAGTGTGCAGAGATCTATGATCTCCTGGGTAGGGCCAATCATTCCTCGATCTTCTTCGCGGCACCGCTCCTCTTGTGTTTGGCGAGGCTTGGACCTTCAAACATGAAGAATTGGACAAGCCAGGTTCGGCAGGTGTGTCTCTTTGCGGCAATTCTTCAAACATGGTCTTTTCCTGTCACTTTCATCATGTGCTTCCAAAAAGCAAGCATGGATTTGGGCATGCCGACGCCTGAAACACACAACAGTATTGAACCGCAAGACTCCGATTGTGCTTTTGACCATGCACCGCTGCAGCAGCTACATTATGTTGCGGCCTCCCCTCCATGCACGCCAAAACCAAGAATAAACCTTGGCTCATCCCAGCGAGCACATTAGCGCATTGTGTCGCTGTCATACGCCCCGTGGGTCGATTACCCACAACGGGCGCGTTGGCCAACAAGATGCAAGCGCAACTGCGGCGTTGCAGGAGCAAATTGGCAGTGCGCCCCACACCGGGCCAGCAGTGTGCAGAGATCTATGATCTCCTGGGTAGGGCCAATCATTCCTCGATCTTCTTCGCGGCACCGCTCCTCTTGTGTTTGGTGAGGCTTGGACCTTCAAACATGAAGAATTGGACAAGCCAGGTTCGGCAGGTGTGTCTCTTTGCGAATAATTCTTCAAACATGGTCTTTTCCTGTCACTTTCATCATGTGCTTCCAAAAAGCAATCACGGATTTGGGCATGCCGACGCCTGAAACACACAACAGTATTGAACCGCAAGACTCCGATTGTGCTTTTGACCATGCACCGCTGCAGCAGCTTCATTATGTTGTGGCCTCCCCTCCATGCACGCCAAAACCAAGAATAAACCTTGGCTCATCCCAGCGAGCACATTAGCGCATTGTGTCGCTGTCATACGCCCCGTGGGTCGATTACCCCACAACGGGCGCGTTGGCCAACAAGATGCAAGCGCAACTGCGGCGTTGCAGGAGCAAATTGGCAGTGCGCCCCACACCGGGCCAGCAGTGTGCAGAGATCTATGATCTCCTGGGTAGGGCCAATCATTCCTCGATCTTCTTCGCGGCACCGCTCCTCTTGTGTTTGGTGAGGCTTGGACCTTCAAACATGAAGAATTGGACAAGCCAGGTTCGGCAGGTGTGTCTCTTTGCGAGTAATTCTTCAAACATGGTCTTTTCCTGTCACTTTCATCATGTGCTTCCAAAAAGCAATCACGGATTTGGGCATGCCGACGCCTGAAACACACAACAGTATTGAACCGCAAGACTCGGATTGTGCTTTTGACCATGCACCGCTGCAGCAGCTTCATTATGTTGTGGCCTCCCCTCCATGCACGCCAAAACCAAGAATAAACCTTGGCTCATCCCAGCGAGCACATTAGCGCATTGTGTCGCTGTCATACGCCCCGTGGGTCGATTACCCCACAACGGGCGCGTTGGCCAACAAGATGCAAGCGCAACTGCGGCGTTGCAGGAGCAAATTGGCAGTGTGCCCCACACCGGGCCAGCAGTGTGCAGAGATCTATGATCTCCTGGGTAGGGCCAATCATTCTTCAGTGTGATCTTCTTGTCTGCGTCTGCCTAGAAGGTGCGTACGACATCCAGGAATGTATCTTTTGCGAGCACTTCATCGTTGGCATGGCAAAGCACAACGCAGCTCCGTGGCACACTGGTAGTTATCGAGGTACTTCCCATCGTGCATCTTCAACATACAAGGCTATGTTTGCGCAACATAGGAAGAAATGGGAAGAAGACATGATTCCTGATTAAATACCTGATGTGTAGGCCGTGTTCTTCTTGTCAGCGGTACCCGGTGCAGTCAAACTTTCGGCCTAGATTCGAGCATTGCAACTCGAGTCTATGGGTTCCTCGAGTGCTTGTCTCAGCTGTTCGCGTTTTAGCGGCTTCATGCAATGCATTAACCTGGTAGGCTTCAACCAGATTCTGAATACACACCTGCGGATCCGCACGGAGCCCTCGGTGAGAAAACATGTGCGTGTCGTTTCAATTCAGCCGGACATACAAGATCCCTAGGCTCAAGTAGTTCCAGTTGACGGAAAAACATGGAATGACCAGTGAAGATTACGGCTTCGCACATGGATACCGCCTGGTGTAGAGAATTTTGCTGCAAAGCAAACAGGAGCTCAGCCACTTTGTAAATGCCAGGATAGCGGAACCGCTTTGAATAAAGGCATCTACCCGAACACCTTGTGCCAAAACTATGGACCCTTCCATATGGTCGAGTTCCTGCTTCCAATAACAATCCTGAACCCAGGCCCTGAAAAAGCCTCTTTTGCCCAATCAAACATTTATTCACCTCCACTTTACTCTCTTCACTTGGGGCAAAAAATGATGGGTTGGGCGGGAACATAGCCCCGCAATTTGTTGTTGACACATTCCACGCCGAGTTGCTAAATTCCACATCCACGCTGTGCCCGGCTTCCCTGGCGTCCGATCTCTCGCAGGGGCCGGACGTGGTGCTGTCCCGGATGCTGCCCCCCGAAAACAAGACGTGGTGAGCCTACATCTCACTTCTTGAGTGGATTTTCAGACAAATTCCGAACTGTTGGTTTACCACTGAAATGGTCCAACCCGAAAAAGTTTAAAGTTCAGGAACTCAGGGAGTGAGGCGTTGAGGAAAAATACGACACGATGTAACATCAAGGTTGGATTCCATCGCAAGTTGGGGCTTGCGCTCTCTCCCTTCAACTTCAATGCCAAAGACTGACCAAAAGAGGGCAACATTGGGCAACGATTCTGTGCTGCCCTCAGATCCCCTGCTAAACGTTTAACTTTTAGTGGGTTGAATGGAAACTATTACTGAACCCTAACAGCCAAAAAGCTAAAGGGATGGCTGGGAGCCACGACAAAAATAGAATTGAACCACCCCAGTTTGAAAGTTGTTCATGCAGGATTTGCCTTTTCACTTTCATTTTTGTCTGTCTTTGCGACCACTATCTGTGCCAAAGTCGGCTATTTTGCAATTATTGTACATCACTTTGGGTGAGACATGATTAGAGTTGGGCCCAGTTATCCGCCGACAACAGACGGCGTGTTGGACACAAAAAATGCTCCTTACCTCTTTACCTGTTACCCCTCCCCCAACCCCTCCCCACGGGCACCATTTCAGACTATTGCGGGGGGGGGGGGGGGTTCACGTACCACGCGGTGATTCGAAGACGCTTCACTAAATCTGTTTATTGCGACTCAGTTTGTCAAAAACATTGGGGTGTTCGATTCCCCCCGGGTGCGCTTTCGCATCCTTTGGCAGCTCCAGCGGCACATCGCCAGCATCACCTGCATCATCCGCATCAGCGCCTGCCAAGGATGCGGATGATGCAAGTGATGCTGGGGATGTTGCCCATGCTGGTGAAGGAAATGAAGGGGGGAAAGGGGGAAAGGATCTCAACAGCGAAAGGGGGGGAAAGATCTCAGGGAGGAAAGGGAGAAGATCTGGGGAAAAAATGCCTTAAGGGGGAAAGGGGGGAAAAGATCTTTGGGAGGATCTGGGAAATCTTTCTCGGGGGGAACAGGCCCTACGGGGCAATGGGGGGACAAGAAGATCTGGGGGAAAAAAGGCCAACAGGGAAAGGGGGGAAAGATCTAAGGAAGGAAAAGGGAGAAGCTCTCAGGGAAAGAGGGGAAACAATCTTAGGAAGGAAAGGGGGGGGAAGATCTTAGGGAGGAAAGGGAGAAGATCTGGGAGAAAAGGACTTAGGGAAGAAAGCCCAACAGGGAAAGGGGGGAAAAGATCTTAGGAAGGAAAAGGGAGAAACTCTCAGGGGTGGGAAAGGCCTTAGGGGGGAAAGGATCTCAGCAGGGAAAGGGGGGGGGGAAAGATCTTAGGGAGGAAAGGGAGAAGATTTGGGGACAAAGGCCTTAGGGGGGAAAGGGGAGAAATGATCTCAACAGGGAAAGGGGTGGAAAAGATCTTAGGGAGGAAAGGGAGAAGATCTGGAAAAAAAAGGCCAACAGGGAAAGGGGGGAAACAATCTTAAGAAGGAAAAGGGGGAAGATCTGGAAAGGCCTTAGGGGGGGGAAAGGATCTCAACGGGGAAAGGGGGCAAAGGATCTTAAGGAGGAATAGGGAGAAGATCTCAGCGGGGGGAAAGGCCTTAGGAAGGAAAGGAGGGAAAGGATCTCAACAGGGAAAGGGGAGGAACGATCTCAGTGAGGAAAGGGAGAAGATCCCAGGCAGGGAAAAGGCCTTAGGGGGGAAAGGGGGAAAGGATCTCAACAGGGAAAGGGGGCAAAGGATCTTCGGGAGGAACAGGGAGAAGATCTGAAAAGGCCTTAGGGGGAAAAGGGGGAAAGGAGCTCAACAGGGAAAGGTGGGAGAAGATCCTAGGGAGGAAAAGGGAGAAGATCTTGGGGGGAAAGGGGGAAAGGATCTCAACCAAGGGAAAAGATCTTGGGGAGGACAAGGGAGAAGATCTCAGGGGGGGAAAGGCCTTAGGGGGGAAAGGGGGGAAAGGATCTCAACAGGGAAAGGGGGCAAAGGATCTTAGGGAGGAAAAGGGAGAAGATCTTGGGGGGGAAAACGCCTTAGGGGGGAAAGGGCGGGAAAGGATCTCAACAAGGAAAGGGGGGAAAAGATCTTAGGAAGGAAAAGGGGGAAGATCGCGGGGGGAAAAAAGGCCTTAGGGGGGAAAGGAGGGAAAGGATCTCAACAGGGAGAGGGGGGAAAATATCGTAGGGAGGAAAAGGGAAAAACTCAGAGGGAGAAAGGGCCTTAGGGGGGGAAAGGGGGAATGGATCTCAACAGGGAAAGGTGGCAAAAGATCTTAGGGAGGAAAAGGGAGAAGATCTCAGGGGGGGAAAGGCCTTAGGGGGGAAAGGGGGGAAAGGATCTGAGCAGGGAAAGGGGGGGAAAGATCTTAGGGAGGAAAGGGAGAAGATCTGGGGGCAAAGGCCTTAGGGGGGAAAGGGGAGAAATGATCTCAACAGGGAAAGGGGTGGAAAAGATCTTAGGGAGGAAAGGGAGAAGATCTGGGGGAAAAAAGGCCAACAGGGAAAGGGGGGAAAGATCTAAGGAAGGAAAAGGGAGAAGCTCTCAGGGGGGGAAAGGCCTGAGGGGGGAAAAAGTGGGAAGGATCTCAACAGGGAAAGGGGGGAAACAATCTTAGGAAGGAAAAGGGAGAAGATCTGGAAAGGCCTTAAAGGGAAGGGGGGAAAGGATCTCAACAGGGAAAGGGGGCAAAGGATCTTAAGGAGGAATAGGGAGAAGATCTCAGCGGGGGGAAAGGCCGTAGGGGGGAAAGGGGGGAAAGGATTCCAACAGGGAAAGGGGGGGAAAGATCTCAGGGAGGAAAGGGAAAAGATCCCAGGGAGGAAAAGGCCGTAGGGGGGAAAGTGGCGGAAAGGGAGGAAAAGGGAGAAGATCTCAGGGGGGAAAAGGCCTTAGGGGGAAAGGGGGGAAAGGATCTCAACAGGGAGAGGGGGGAAAACATCTTAGGGAGGAAAAGGGAAAAAACAGAGGGAGAAAAGGCCTTAGGGCGTAAAGGGGGAATGGATCTCAACAAAGAAAGGGGGGGCAAAAATCTCAGAGGGGAAGGGGGCAAGGGGACAATTCCAAAGGGACGCAAATAAGAAAGCAGGCCTGTAATGTCGGCGGCCTGAGCCGGAGGCGTTAAAATAGAATGTACATTTTATTGTTTGCTTCATTTTGAGTCACTGGTAAAATGTAAAATGTATCCTAGGTCTACCCCAGGAGGGTCCTGGCACTGCCATGGGTTTGTTTGATTGGAGGGTCGTCTGCGTGCAGACGACTAAACCTGGCCGAGCTGCTGAGTGAAGACGCCGAATCGCCCGTTGAGGCCGTTGGCAAAGACATCCCATGGGACGTACTTGTTGACCTGGCCGGATTGACATCTGGGAAGGAGCAATATCTGTGAATAGAGGACACAATGTATGTATATTGCACATGTGCTACACATGTCTTATGTAGATTGACAGTATATTGACTGGCAAAAGCACCAACACGAAGACGCAACTCAGGTACCAGCCATGTTTGTGCAGGACGTTTGTAAGCTAAAGACAGTGGGTCGCCTGTCAGCCGGGAAAGAAGACATACTTCGCTACACCCACCCTGGAACAACCACAACAAATTCATACAAATGACGCAGGCCCCAACCATTGGTTTTAAGGTTGCCAGCTGTGCAGGGCTCCAGGAAACAAACAAACAAACAAACAAAGCGGAAAACAAAGCAAGCAAGAAGCAAGCAAACAAGCAAGCAAGCAAGCAAGCAAGCAAGCAAGCGAGCAAACAAACAAATAAACAAACAAACAAACAAACAAACAAGCAAGCAAGCAAGCAAGCAAGCGAGCAAACAAACAAACAAACAAACAAACAAACAAACAAGCAAACAATCAAGCAAGCAAGCATACAAGCAAGCAAACAAACAAACAAACCCAAAACAACAAACAAAATAACAAGCAAGCAAGCAAGCAAGCAAACAAACAAAGCAAAAAAAACAAACAAACAAACAAACAAACAACCAAACAAGCAAGCAATCAAGCAAGCAAAAAAACAAGCAAGCAAGCAAGCAAGCAAGCAAGCGAGCAAACAAACAAATAGACAAACAAACAAAGAAACAAAGAAACAAACAAAAAAACAAGCAAACAAGCAAGCAAGCAAACAAACAAACAAGCAACCAACCAAACAAACAAGCAAGCAAACAAACAAACAAGCAAGCAAGCAAGCAAGCAAGCGAGCAAACAAACAAACAAACAAACAAACAAACATACATACATACAAACAAGCAAACAAACAAGCAAACAAGCAAGCGAGCAATCAAACAAACAAACAAACAAGCAAACAACCAACAGCAACACCTGGCCCTCGATCTAAAGTGGCGAGCGGCTGCATGCACATTGACGTGCACGATGCGATGCATGTTCTTGTAGTACTCCACTGCCTGATAGACGATGCCTTCTTTGCCTCCGCTCACAGGCTGTGCCAATCGTATGGCCCGTGATCGTGCGGACAACGCACTCGTGTGTTCGGGGTGATCATACTGTGGATGGTTGCGAAATCCGTTCGCACCACTTTGAAACCATGGGAAACCATTGTTTGTTGGTATTTGAAGGGGAATCATCATTCCAGGGGATCTTAGGTGGTGCAGGATTTCGTCCATCCACAGTAGCAAACTTTCAAAAGGCTCTGAAATTCTGAACCAGCTGACTGGCTCGAACAACCAAGCACGTCCCATGTGCCAGGGGAAACTGTAAAGTGAGAGAAATTGCTTGAGTTATCTCCAGGAGCAAAGGATAAGAAGAAAGACAAAAAGCGACAATAAGTTGACTTCTCTCCACACAAAAGAAAATCATGATGAACACCCCAAAAGAAAAAACAAAAAAAACACACACACGCACATACATTACTCCGGCAACTGGGACCCGCTCACGTGTTTTCTTACTTTTGACAGTGCACTTTAAGAGCGAAGCCTTCTACCCAGCCAAAAAAACACCACCCCTATAAGGGCCAAGGAGTCCCGGGTGCGATTTGGCTGGCACCCTGGGCCCCTGTGTCCTCGAAAAGACCAGGGCTGGGTAAAGCAAATGCTACAACAGTACCCTCAAGAAAGCCCCCGCCAACTTTCGCGAGAAGCCAGGAATCCTTGAAGAACTGGCACCCATCTGCGCCAAGGTACCGCGGTGCGGGCCTTGACCGCCGAGGTTGTTGTGCAGCACCTCCTCCAGCATCAAGTAGGGTTCATCCCCGCAGTCAAAGTCACCGGCGCTGCCTTCAAAGCGAGGTTGGAACCACCGGGACCGCGGATGACTCGGATTTGTTTAACATGTCGCTCTCAATCGACCCGATATGGAAAGTTGATCCGGAAAGGAAGACACGAAGGAACCCATGGTTTGGAGGTTCGGAGCAACCCTGCTTGCCCCAACCAGGTACTGTCTGCTTCGCCTCTGATAGGCACAATTTCTGATAATTCGCCAACTGGACATATTGCATCATCAAAAACTATGAGGTCTGGATCATTTGTGCAGCTATGGGGATAAGCCCTGCCTCCAAACCGTACCTACTTTAGCAGGCTTGAGCACATTTTCGGATGAGTCCTCTACTTACCAGGATCCTACAATCTATGTCGGAAGCAATCTCGCTCTCAGGCTCTGTGGATGGACAACACCCTGCACCAGTTGGTAGACGGTTTATCACAGTATTCGTAGAGGTTCATCCATCCCAACTGAGTCCGCAGTTTGTCGAACGTCTAAGTGGTCTTGCGTGCCGGCATGCCTCTTCCCTTGTTGTCTTCTGCAATTCGCCTGAGCCTCTGAGAGCCGCCATGTTCTGCACAGCGTCTTTTTTGGGTGCCAACGTTGAAGGATCTGGATTGTTGGTCACCCTGCATTCATGTGTGCCCTAGTTCGCCCCTGTTTGCAGATGGAGTCCCACTTCTACCAAGTTGACTTGGTCATTCGCTCGGGGTAAGAAATCCTTTTTGAAACGCAATCACACACCAAAGGCATGTTCATCAAACAGATGAATGTTTAACAGTCACACCTAACACGGTCAAAATGAAGGCGAAAAAGCAAGCCCATTCTCAGAAGCTTTCAAAACACGAGAGTGAGAAGAGCGGACAGTTTGGAAAGGGCTCCTATCTGAATGAAATGCAGGGATGCAGCCCACAAGAGACAACCCCGGGAGAAACCATACACCCCTACTGCCGAACGTCGGCTTTTTTGAATCGGGAATGTGTTTGCTGGCTTTGGTTTACTTCTTCCTGTATAGTTCGAATATCGAATGAACCAAACAATGAGATACGATGGTAATTCAGGGGTGATCCTGTACAACACATGTGATCTGCCATCCAAGGCGCTGCTGGCTGCGCAAATGCAAGCACACAGCAACACGCCACGCAAAGCCATGGCGAAGTCTGGCGATCGAAACAGGTGTCGATGCCGATGGAGATAGATGCCCAAATTCCGCATAAGCTGGCGATGGCGCTATTTCGGCGCGAAATTTTAGCACGTGCAAGCGTTGGTGACCGTACTTCCAGCCAAAATGGCACGTGCCGTTCAGTGGTTGAGAGAAGCAGGCAGCATGAGATGCTTGGTAAGGGCCTGAGAAGCGATCTGCTGAAAGCTGGCTCAAAGCACGGACACAAATGATTCAGTCCATCAATGGCAGCCTTCCTGTGAACGACCGCAACGTCAGAAGCCTATCCGAGTATATCCAAGGCTATCAAGCCGTTCACCTTTTCCGGAACTGGCGTTTGGGAAGCCCTTTGAGATTTAAGATATGCTTAATCTCATGGTAGGTGCATGGAAAGCTCGGCCATTCTTTGCCGCTTCCACCAGTGACATGCAACGCTCTCGTTTGAGAGCATAAGTGCAACTGCACGCAGGTGATGCCTTGCATGAATTTGTCTGGGGCCTTCAGCCCCTTTGCAGAATAGAAATGCAGAGGTGCTACAATTCAAGATATCTTGATTTCATTCTTGTCTGCCCTTGCGGAGACAGCACACCCTAGCTAAAAGGATGATGTTGGTATGGGAAATAAACACCTACAACCTCAGTCTCAGTGCGCTTTGACAATCTTTGATCTTACAAGTTGACTGGGCAGGGTCAATGCAATCTTTTTCGTCATTTGAATTCTGCTCAATCAACCAACAAGTTCCACTCGACTCTTTGCAAATACGTGGATGTGCCCGTAGATCAAATGTCCACCATCCGCTCCACATCGGATACCTCTTGCTTGACGCGGCAAGCAAGATTCCATATCTGTCCCCTTTTGACACCGCTCCACCGAGACGAAACTTACTGCAAGTTGGCCAGCAAGGGGATGTGTGTGCACTACCCAACAAACAGAATATGACCCTTTTCCCTTGCGAACGCTTCAAAGAACCGAACGGATCCCCTAAATCACCGGCTTGCCGGTCTCAGAGCAAGCTGCCTCTCACGCTCCAATTCAGGCAGGACGCGATCCTCCCACCACGCCTGCACGGTTCCTTTTTTGTGGTGTTACAACATCAACTTTTCGGCCGGCCCAAAACGAAGTCCCCCAAAAAAAGCTCCGTTTAGCTAATCAGCCCTCTTTTGAGGCTTGAAGCAACTGTTGAGCCAGTTCCTTTCGGTGGGTGATGTTTGGACATCCGAATGGCAGTGACCTTGCCAACCGGGTGGCCAACCAGCCTCTGGGGCAACTCCAAAGGCTGGGAGCCGCGTCTCATTCGCGACATTTGCCAAGTATCAGCTTCTGCCTTTTCGTTTCAGGATTCGATTAGTTTCCGTTCATAAGTTGAGCTACGTATGTATCCGCGCGCCCGTCCAACAGCAACGTCGAGACTTTTCCAACCCCCGCGGCCCTCAAGTCGGCTACAGAGAGAAGCCAGGGTCAAAGGGATGCTGGCTGATCGAAACAGCCAAAAATAGGCTTGTCAGCAGGATGCTGGGCCTTGACCAACATGGTCCCGACATTTGTTCTTGCATTGAACCTACAAGGCACTTGTTTCTCTCACTTCCAAGGCATGGCAATCCATAACAAACCAAGCAAGCCTGCTCTGAATCGCCACGACCATTGCGCGGTGCTAAGCTAAAGTTTGGTCCTGCGGCTGTCCGGAATATTGCAAGTAAACCAACCAGTATCTCTGTTTACAGGCATTTGTAGGTGTGCCTGAATATTGTAGATGGATTTTGGAGGATTTCTGCTGCATAAGCAGAAAGGACCATCTCGCGTGAGATCATTCCTCCCCGAGCTTGCGACACGAGCCCAGCTCTCGCAGGCCTCACAGCTGGCCTCATAGGCGAGATCCAGGTTCTCGCCGCCCTAAAGCACAAAGCAGAAGAGCCGAGAGCCGAGTGTGGAGGCTTTGGTTTCATACATGTCTTTGCTATATATATATATACTATTGGAATTTGTTGTTTTTGTGTAAATGGTTTGTTTATGATTTGTTTATGATATTGTTATCATTATCATTATCATTATTACTAGGATTATTAGTGGTGTCTGGTGTTGTTATGGTATGACTTTTTATCCTCTTTGGTATCATCAGTGTTTGTTTGTTTAGTGATTCTTATGAGATTAGTATCATTATCATATTTGTTTTATTCTTTTTACAACTTGGTGTTCTTCTTCTTTTTCTTTAGGATGTCAAAGTGGGGGGGTGCTCAACATAGGGTCCATTTTCCTACATGCTTTTTGGGTTCGTGTCTAAGTGGGTGCGCAAAATAGGAATCTGTCCATTTTGTCCAACACATTGTTGGTTTCGTAAATGGGTGTGTCTGAGCGTCTCAAAATGGTCCCCGGAGGCTGTTGGGGTCCTTTTGGTTTCCCTTTCCGAGTAAAAGGGATCACTTCAAGAAACTCCAACCCATTATGGGCCGACCCTTCACAACAGGTCATCGGGACCGCATTTCCGAGACCCAGTGTAACCAGTGATCGAGCCAACTCTTTGTTGGAATTGACCATCTTAAGAGGGGACTCCAACAAAGAACAAAGCACAAGGGTACCACTGAACAAAAACTGGATTCCTCTTGACTGTATCAATTGAGGGGTGACTTTGCGAATGGTAACAACCTGGGGCACGAATGATCAGCATTGACATGCTTTGACCGCAGGTAGCCAAATTTGCTGAAGAAATTGCATGGTTTCTGCGCAGCTTCCTGTCATCCATAGTTTGCCTTGAAGGTTGCTCAGTTGATCAAAAGGGAAAGCGTGAAGTGTATTGGTATTGCACAGCCTCCCTTCGGTTTTGCAGTTCAAGAGTGTCGGCTTTGGGTAAGGTATTTGCATCAGCCTTCTCCTTGTGAAACTGACCCCGCCAAGATGGCAATGTCTTCATGCCCGGAAAATCAAACAGGGCAACGCCCCGTCTACAAATACAGCTGTACCTCGAGCTATGCCTGTGTCAGTAGAGCATCCAAACCCATCAGCAGCCCACAACACGACTAGGTTGAATCACAGGGTCCAAGCTTCGCACTGAGTTGGGTGTCTGAATTATTGAGGTTTATTTTGGGGTTGTTGTTCATCCGGTGTTTCAACTGAAGCTCCAAGAGTTGCTTCTCAACGCCAAAGGTGTGCGGTGTGCTTTCTGTCTTGGAAGCCCGTGTCCGAAACCCCCATTTATCGCGCCTGCGCTCGAGCCGCATCCATCCAGTCCCAGGGTTTGCACATCTGGCGCGAGCGAAGACAGTTGCAATCGCAACCTCTGGGAGTCTTGGGACCTACAGGCAGTTTTTGAGAACCCAAACCTCCTAGAGATCCAGACCCCTTGTCTAAAGTTAGTCTTGGGACCTCAAACGCACTGAAACTCCCTTTTTGGAACTTCCGAAATGTGGCGATCGTTTCCATGGGGAACCACCGATCAATTGATCAACCGTTGATTTCGGGAAATCCAGTGACCCCTGTCGTGATGGTTTACCGGTAACCCTCAAAAGCATTTTTGAGGTCCCAAACCTGCTTGTAGAGATCCAGACCCCTCCCCTGGAGGCTCCAATGATGCTCGGGCTCAAATGTGAAGAATTGGAAGAGCGACCGCATGCACTTGGGACGCAAAGCGGCTCGCAATCTTACAAGGAATCAGCCATGAGCAGTTCCTGGCTGTGATTTGGCTCGCATGTCTTTCACGCAGGGAAGAGATGGTCAACGCAACAATTGCTGGCGAACTTGAAGCCGACCAAGCCGACAAACGGTGTGTGCTTCATGGAGGGAAACCTTTTGGAGGTTGCTTTTGAGGAAGATGCCGACTATGACCCCACTGATCTCCGACTGCCCCGAAAAGACTCGCGAGGCGCGACCAGCAAGCCCATCCAGCGGACCTCCAAGTACTTAGGGTGTCCAACTTTAGGTCTCTTTTCCCTTTCCTCGTCCCAAAATTCCCACTTGCTTTTTTGCATGGTCTCCGGCTCGCTCCGGGGTCCGGAATCCGATTCATGGCCGGGCTTCAAGCGCCCAACAGAAGCCCCGTGCGCCTTGAGGGCATGGTGCAGGTCCTCGAGGCCTGACCAAACCAATGGGCGGGTAAGAAGCCAACGCAGCCAAGCCGATGGAAGGAACCTGAACGGCTAACACGGCACGTTCTGGACAGGGCTCATGTGGCCATGGGTCAAAATCCAAATCGTACCAGTGAACATCCCAATCCCCACTATAGACTAATATGGGTGCACCCACCCTAAAACGACCTAAAATGGTACCTTTGGTTTTGACCCATGGGTGCACCTACCAAAATGGTACCATTGGTTTTGACCCACAGCCATGTCAGTGTCTGTTCCCCACCCCGACCATTGCACCTGATAGGGGCGGGGAATCCCTAGCGCATACCGCCTTCACACGTCAACCAAACATCTGTCCATGCCCATTTCCCAAGGCGATGTAGAACATAGCATGGCTGCGACAATAATGAACGGGAAAAGAGTGCCATCAATTGAATACGTGCGTCCAGAAGAAACGCGGCTTGCCCTTACCGTGAACGGGGGCAAACATCTATCAAGTACCCCATTCCAGGGTTGTCATTTTGCCTGTTGTTCGTGAAACAGATTGGCTTGCTTCAACAAGGATACCTGCACGTTTATGAGGCCCATGTAGCTTTGTGCCCATATCTTTCCAATGAGAGCGGATTGCCTGTCGAAAAAAGGGCTTCCCTTTTTGCTAGGTAGGTCAAAAGCTACATGTGCCCTCCTGCTTGGAAGAACCCAAAAAACAAGCATTTTTTTTAACTGTACAGGACAAACAACACAAACATCCACCTCCCCCCCCCACCCTCCAACAAAAACACACACACACACACCCGCCTTAACGCACAAGCCCTCCCATCCAACCCAGCGCTGCCACCGGACTCTCTCTCTCTCTCTGGGTGCCCGCACCCAGCTCTGCGGCCAGGGCCGTCCAGCCCATCTCATCCGACTGAAAAATGCGGAGACCCACTTCGATGGCCGAAATCGAATCCGTCGCTACAGTTTGCCCAGTACATGCATAGGCAATGAAGGCAAATATCATAGGGGAAAACAACATGGAGGAAGCCAGGAAGCCGATTGCTTCACT